ATTTTGGCCAGTGAGTTGAGTAATAATTTAATTTATGGGTTGACATATTGAATAACCATTCTTTGCAATTAAACTGAAACCAGCGAGAATACTCCGCGTGTGAATGCGTGAATCAATTTTAAGCCACGCTGATCGCTTTTTGATTCACAAAATTTCAACTCTTAACCTTTTCCAGTCCAAAATTCTGAACATTGTGTTTTGATGAAGCAGGTTTTATGTGAATTTATAGCCACATTAAGTGCTTCCAACCGGAATTTCCTTCTGGTTTATTGAGCACACTAAAAGAAGGCGTCAGACACCAGCCGAAAATGCGCATTTGAAGCAACTTTGACGAAAGATTCCACTCTGTTTTTGGCTCTTCATTTGTATGGAAACATTGCGAAATTCTAACTTTGATCGTTACCAAATTTTACAATGCATTCTCTGGTGATCCACGGACCTTCCTCTTACTATGCATAATGCGTTAAACTTCGCACTATGCAGTGCAGTAACACAAGCGTACAATTTCGTGAATGGTAATCGTGGAGTGTAAATGTTTCATTGACTTGAATGTGACTTAATTAGGCAGAAAAATGCTGGATCGCGTTTGAATGGATTGAAATGAAAAGGATGATCGTGTTCGCGCCCACTTTTCGCAAAAAACACACTTTACTTCTGTTGTTTCTCAATGCAACACAATCACGAAGAGATCATCACATTTTGCATTCACTCCGAAGAGAGAGAGAGATCGCGGCAATTGCCAATACTCCGTGAGAGAGTCAGATGGTAACTATTAATGCCAAAACGGTGCGTTTTGTGCGATTAATTTGCAAGACGTGAAATTGTTGGGAGTGATTGATTCCGTATTGTATTGAGTAACTTTGATTTATTAATATGGTGTTGTGTGTAGGTCAATCAACTTGATATTTCTCTTCACCAAAGTAGGCATTCAGCGTTTGTATGGAGATTTGCAATTGCTGAGCTGGTGTGCAGAAAAAAAAAGTCGATCAAAGTACTTGAGAGTGCACATTTTCTCAAGATCACTCATAAGCCATTGAATGGCCAAATGATTTGTTTGTTTGTGTTGTATTTAGTGAAATTGATGAAATATCGAGGCTCTTTCTCTGGGCAGATTTAATAAATTTTCTCACTGTTAAGCCACTTAACCAGTGAAGTTGAGCGAATGAGCGACTTCTTTTGCACACCCATTTCATACTGCAACGATCTGCGGCGACGCAACCTACTTCCTGCATTCTGTGATGCCTGGAAATTTTTACACACACATTCATCAGATTAAGACCAGATTCATAATTCAATATTATGATAAGTTGAATAAATTACAATTATTCTCCCATTAGTGCCTCCAATCGTTTTCATTTCGTACGAGAGCAGCTTTCTACCAGTCCACAAAGTAATTGTTTTACAGCAAAGGAAAAGCCATGGGTTTCGTATTGCAATAGAAAATTTGCAAAAGTGAGAAAAGATATATTTTCTCCATCTCTGTGCAAAAAGACACTTCACCACTCACTTGTGTAGCTTGTACCGTCAATTGACTGTTTTTCATATATGAAATACAATTCTCCAAAGTGACTCAAATCACAGCTAAATTGATATTTGGGACTTGTACCGACTGGTTTTCACTCACGTTCACATTTGCAAGTGCCGACAAATGAATGAAAGAATGGTCTGTATAGGCGCGTGTATATATGTAATATATGATATTAAATCGGAGGACGTTAGAGCACGAGAGTTTCCCTTGCAGTGCTTTATACAATGTACATGAAAATGCATGCGAACGTGTACAATGCCACAAGCATTTTGTGGAAATCCGCACAACGTGTTTCTTCAGCAATCACGCAGGTATTTTCCACAAACGCCGCGTGCACAGACGAAAATCTTTTGCAGGATGAGTTTTGATAATAGCTCTTTGGTAATACAAATGATATATTGTTGCATAAGCATGTACAGCCATTCCAAGTTCGATGGACAGCTTGAAAATTATTAGTTATAGCATTGCTCTTTGCAATTTGTCTCTTGACATAATTTCCTTGCAATCGGATTCTAGTTTCGAGGAGATCGCAACAATGTGAAGTGTCTGCACATAGGGAAGCATATTCTTGAGACTCCAGATTAACCATTCTTTGTGAATTTATGTGCTTACTCTTTGGACACGAACCACACGAATGATTAATCTTGTTGGCTCTTGAGAACGTGGGTTTGCGGTCTTGCGGAGTGAAAGAGAATCTGTAGAATGATACCCTCCGGGAGGTGAGATCAACCTTGAATTCGTGCACGAATTGGCCGGAACTTGTGAATATTTTTCCTGTATATGACAAAATGCCACCGCAACAATTGGAACCAGTTTCCCGCAGTCGATGAGTAACCGCCACCCTCTTTCTCTCGTGGTCTTTTTATTTCATCCACAGCCAAGGACTTCCTGGTTTCTCAACCACGCACTGGCCAGTGATCTAATGGCACTTCTCTTGCTACGCTCAGAGAACTAGAACACGCGCTGTGTCTCGATCACATTTGATCACCGCTGTGGCGACTTTTTATGACCCAACAGTGACTTAATTAGCAGTGGCAAATTGTCTCTGAACGGATAATTTGCTGAATTGCAAGAAATTCTTGCACAATTTCTATGGCGACTGGTGAAAAATACACATCTAATTGACAAGCCGAAATTGCTAAATGCTAAATAAGGTGGGGAGAAGAATTATGCAGACCTCCAGAGATAGTTTTCCTTATGCCCAATTAAATGGATGGTGCATGCGTGAATGTCTTGCCTCATTCCATACTCAATTTGCTCGACGATTTAATTTTAACAAATCCCAACAATTTGGAGTAATTCCTCGCTAATTAATTAGCATGCCGCGTGGAGGTGAAAAAAAATTAATTTTCCATGAAAATTGGGCAGAGACGTCCACGAGAGTGACCTCCATGTGGCATATATAAAATATTTATCAGATTCAATTTGACTACTCGCGGGCAATTGAATACATTTCACATACGCGACTGTGGTATAATCTTTGCATGGTCTCTTGGTGTTGCCTCAGACAAATGCCACCTGCTCGTTAATATAGCATCTCAGCAGTAAATCCATATAGCTGAAGCTCCATCGAAGGTCTCAGCGCAGTGTGTGCCGTAGAATGTAAATGGCGCGATCTTGTATACGAAATAAGATGTAAAAAGACAGAAGTCTCAATAAATGGCAAAACTATTCCTTACCCGAGGGGCTAAACGAGATAAATTGTAATTGTACCATGTCAGTTTACGGGAGTTGGTAATTAATGCTTCAGAGAAGTGGTCCACGAGAGAAACCTCTTGTCCTCCCGGAGGAATGCTTATCTCCACGACGAAATGCGCATAGATTGTCCTCATTCTGCTCGGCGTAGATCAACTGTAAATTTTATTATTGCACTTGGACATCAGATCGACTCTCCAGTGACACAGTGAAACTTTGCTGCTCGTGTTAATCACAAGAGAATCCCTCTGTTTCTGGCGATTCCATCACTCAGCCTGACAGTCAAAATTGTTAGACCGTTAAACTCTTATCGTGAGATGGGAAAAGCTCTCTTGATTATAACAACACTTTAGATCTTTCTTTTCCAACTAAAATCCCCAATAAAATGTGATTTATTTATCGTAACTCTCGAAGAGCCAATTAAATCTCTAAAAATGCACACAATTCTGTGAATGCATTTGGAGACCACCTGGACGCAGAGAATGCTGTTCAAAAGAAGGTTGGACGGCGATTCTTGTGTAAGAATTTCCAGCTAAAAAGACTCCCGATATTTCCGAATTATACAATTTCTCGGTTAATCAATAAGCGCGATCAGAAAGTGTTAACTTTTGGCATGTGCAAGAAATTCTTTTACGACTTTCGTGATCTCTTTTTCTCAACTTAATGATTTTTACTCTTGGGTGTTCCACACGAGAAAAAGTACAAACACACACACACAATACGGCAGCATTGGCAAAGAGATGGATGATTGAGATCAAAGAGTCCAATCCCGAAAATATTGTCTGTCTGCGCCAAGAAAAAACCACTGGAGCGGAAGTTGTGCCATTTCTTGTAACACCTCCTGAATGGCTTCCTCTCGCCGAAGCCCTACTCTTTGAGCATTTGCAAATTTTCATGCGAGAGAGCCACGCGGGGAAAAAGTGTATTGGAATAAATTTTCTAAAAATGGGCGAGTTCGCGTCGTTCGCTATACTAACTGGTGTGATTTGAAAGTTTTTTACCTGCTTACGCCACCAAGCGAAACGCCAATAAATACTTTTTATGCCCACCAAACCTCGCTTGGCACTCGTGCCAATGCATTTTTACTTCATATTTCATACTGTAGTAAATTGAGATGAAAACACAGAGGAAAGAGCTCTGCAGTCAATTCCTTGCGCTGCTGCGGAGAGTCAGAGTGGCAGAAAAGGGATGGTTAAGAGGTGAAAATGTTGTACAACATAAGAAAAACGAGTATTCTGCTGAAGTCATTCTGTGTATCGATGAATTTCAAAGTTCATCTAATTAATTACTTTTATATAAATTCTGCAATGTTAAAAATAATCCAGCAATAATTAGCCCCTTGCGATATTTCTCTCTTTCTCCCCTCTCTAATGCACTTTTCTTGGTGGCTTATTGGGCACAAAAAGCCCTCGAGGTGGCCACATTTTCTCAACATTTCTTCTCGTTCGTAGAATTTTTGCAGCAATTGGTGATTGTTTCACCTCCCAGAGGCACAAATACCTGAACTCCCCGCGACGCCCCTTCTTTGCCACCAAATTCACCCAAGAAATTGTAATTGAGAGAGAAGAAAAAATTTCCACTATTCATGTTGGATAGTTTCTTTCAATAAGAAACGCGCGCACGTTCGCGCCTTTGCCGTCACATTATTTTTCTCGTATGGCTTTTCCAAAAGTGGAGCGAGGACATTTTCGGACACTCCGTGCAGCCTTTCTCACATCGTCAACATGTGAGATGCAATTTAAGGAGGAGACACTGAGAAGGACTCGCCAGAACTCACCATTTTTGTGGTCTATGAAGCAATTCGTCCGAGCTGAAAATATCCACAGACGTTTGGAGCAGGTAAAATCCTCAAATTGAGTGTTTTTTTCTTCTTATCAAATTTCTATGCGCTGCGAAGGTGATGAAGAAGTACAAGAAGACACTGACGGGTGAAGGCAGAAAATTGGCGACCTTAATGCTGGTGGCTTGTCGTCGCTGTCGTTTGCGAGTCGAGTTTCACTTGTTCAAACCACTTAAATTTCACTGAAATCGCCTGTTCACAATTTTTCATACAATACAGAATGCCCAACAATCCGATGGGAAGTTGCAGTTGAATTCACAGTAAAATCTCTCTCTCTTCACTTGTTTTATTTTTTTTTTTACTCAAACTGAACTAGAAAGATTCTGACAGAGTCCTCGGAACTCCTACTCCATTCCGCACTCTTCGACGGTCTGTCCTCGAGCAGGACTCGCTGGGCGCTTGTCTGGACGCTGAATGGGGAACAATGAGAGGCGATCCGGAGAGCCAAACTGCGCGCTTGCAATCACTAAAAACTGAGGAGCGATAGAAATCCGCGCGATCCGCTTAAGAGTCGCTGAGAGTCTAACGTTGACCGCTGCGCTGGTAGCGGGAAATCTCGAGGCAGGGCGCCCAGAAAGCAGCTCCAGTGGCCCCACTAAAGACTTTTGACTGCAGCCGCGGCGGCGACTCGCGTGGTGGGGTGAGCGCTGGCTGGAGACCAGCTGCATTGTCTTTCGCTGACGCCTAAGACGTCATCAAGCCACTCCACTCCCTCTCAATCCACCGCGCGCTGTGCCTTCTTGCTGCCATGTCTCCGTGCCATCTCCGCAAAAACTCCTCTTTGTCGCCTTTGTCCTGGTAAAAGCGCCGCGAGCAGGAAGTCAAGAGCGATCTCTCCAGTGAGAGTGCAAAGCCATTGTTCACTTCGCTGGCTTTTCAGTAATTTCAGCAATAATGAGATGATGCATTACCAAAAAAGGTAAACTATGCTTATTTGCAACTAATTTGACTGGCAAATAAAAACGAACTCTGCGTGAAATTATTTTCTATTTAAAATATTTTCTAAATTGAACGTAATAAATTGGGTATAATTCGTCTATTGTGGATTTATTCGGATGAAAATTGAAGCTGCTTTCAGGATTCAAAAGTAAATCAAGGAATTTCCTGATGCATAATTAATTTATATGACATATAATAATAATTAAAATCTCACCTGTAGTAGAAATATAGAGATTATTATGCGATAATAAAAGTCTCTCATCTCACGATGAGAGTGATAACTTTATCTCACTTCTGTCAGACTGTGAGTTGATGAGTGCATCTGCAAGAAGCCCGCCCAAAGCATATTTTCATGCATTTGAAAATGTGCATTTGATATTCTGCAGCAAATTGAGGAAGTTCCCACGTTTAAAGTCTCTGTCTTCTGGGCGCGGGCGCTCGTCTTTGGCTGCAATCTCGTGATTTCTTGCCGCGGAAGCTTGTGTAAGTGCTGATGATCCACGAGCTGACGGAGATATTTTCCCGTTTTGCCATCTTTTGCCTCTTGACTTGGCCAAAGAAGAGATGTTTTATAGTGGAAAAAAAGAGAGCTTACACATTTAGTGCCTCTTTTCTCACTCACGCAATTTTCAGCCATTTTCATTGCACTCATTGTGCAATCGCTCAATCATTTCTATATTCGCTCAAGAAGGGTGTTATGCAAAAGAATTTCTGCAAGATTGTGTTACGAGTGCTGTTGTGTACCCTTTATAACTTGCTGCCTCTCTGCGTTTCCCATCGATTCCCCAAAAAAGCACTCTGAACACTGGGTGATGTGCATTTAATAAGAACACTCTCCGCGTCTCAGTGTGTCCATCATCGTAAATCAGTAAAAGAGTGGATTTCAGTGTTTTATTATTTGAGATTAATTTCATGTGATATGCTAAAAAGTGAACAATTTCAATACAATAACACCGACTTTTCACATCAAATTATCTCGCCACCTTCCCATATTTTTTCCTTCTTCTTCTTCTGTCCAACTCTCCAATCAGTCGAGAAAGTCATTGAATTGGAGGAGAAGAAATCTCCCACTCAATTGACTTCGATTGCAGATTGTCTTGCATTTCTTCACCCACAAAATTGGACTCTATAAAAGCTGAGGGCATTTCGTGACACGTCAAGATTGCAGCAAAGTGCATTTGCATCTCTCCCAAGTCACTGCACTCGCCATTGAATAATCCTAATTGATTCGCCTTAATCACTGAAAATGCGAGCACAAGCACGATTTTTTTTTCTCGCTGTGAGAAGAGCATTTATGCACTTTCGTACGTATAATAAATTACATGTATATAATAACAAGTATTTCTCAGGTGTATAGTGAAACTTTTCTTCTCGTCATCAGGCGCACACATGGCAAATAATGGCATGACGTGGAATTCAAATTATTTAATTTCACTTTTATTAGAATGAATTAAGCCGAATGGAAGAGGCAAAAAAAAAACAAATAATAATAATCGATTAGAAAAAGGTGAGAAATGAAATTTGTTGCTAATTGCCAATGATAGGTTTCACTACAGCAGTTCAATCAAACTGAACAGTTTATTATATCCAAAGAAAATTATCGAAAAGTACAAAAACTTTGACACTGTCTATTCACTGTTCGCAAAAATAGTGAAAAATTTGTAGAAAACGCAATTTTTCATATTACAACTCTACAGCTTTAGAATGCTGTAACCGAGAATATATGATTAATACTCACTTCGTGAATGTTAAACCAAAGTAGAGAGAGAGATTAGACGGTAAAATTTACTTAGATTACAATTACATCACATATTTTCTCGGTTCAAAGAATCCACTTAATTTTGCCTACAGAGTGCAAAATCATCACCGCCGAAAACCCACAACATTTTCATTCGAAAAATTATTATCTTGTTTAGCGCTCGCGATTGAGCAAAGACTGTTGGCTGAACCAGAGAGTTTAGCGTGCCGATGAGTGCTGGCCGATAGGCCGAAGGAAAGCCATTGGAGTTGAACATAATGGCTAAAACAAACGCTTACACTCCGGTGAGATCAACAGTCGCTGCAGCGCCGATAATCAAGAGTGGGCTCTCCAAGGCGATATGGATGGAGAGGCTCTGGTGTGCTCATTCTCAGCGCCAAGCACTTGCTGTGCGCGCTCGCGAAGACGCGCGAGATAATCGCGCGGCGCAGATGTGTGAAGAAATGGCGCGAAGAAGGGAGAAAAATGTGAAAGTGGTCGGATGGACGTGAGAACGGAGATGGACAAATTCACAGCGCACGTGGAAAGTTCCCAAAAATCCACCGCAACATCACGATTTGAGCATTAGGCCGTGTCCCTCCCGGCGCTTAGGCGAGGCGCGCGCTGAGGCGATTGCGACACATCCACAAAGGAGGCCTCTTTTGTCTGCACGTCATTGACTTGAAAAAGATGATAAATTGTTTGCTTTACTTCCACTCTGCGCCTCGAGAGATTTCTGTGCAAAGATTTGCTCACTGCTCAACTGTTGCGTGCCACTCTTCCGGATAGCGCCGCCTAAGCGATCACTTGGCACCTCTGCCGGCAATTGAACGCCTCTCGCCCAGCGTTTGCTGGTCCAACAGAGATGCGCTAACAAATTGCGCTCTGTGAATTATCTTCTTTATGCTCTCCTAAATACTCAAGATGATCAGCAATGAGATTTCTCCACTCAGTGCAGGGAAATTGCATCACCATTTCTCCCAAGAGACGATTCGGAATTCGCAGCCACGATGTTTGAAGGAAAAGGTCCACATTTCTTTCGTCTCATTCAACTTTATTACATTTAATGTCTCTCCTGAATAATCATGAAATAGATTATCTCAATTATATGTAATTGTATTTGATATTATTTTAAAGAATGACTATATTTTCCAAGATATTCTCTTATCCTTCATTTATCATTTCATAATTTTCAACTAAATAAAAATACTTATAAATGATTGATGCAAAGTAAAAAAAAATGAATATATTTATTTTAACGAGAAAATCACATTTAAACATGTTACATTTAGTATAAAAAATGCTTGAATTTTCTTATCATGGTAAATTGTGAAACATTGATTCACATTAATTTGCACGTTTTATCTCTTTCTTTGCCTGTAGATAAAATATCCTTCTTAATTCTTAATGTTTACACATATGCAATGCTGAAAAATGTTACTGAATCTCGAAGGTATTTCTTTTTTGCTGTAGATTGAATTTTTCACTTCATTTGAAGAATACTATAAGAAAAGTTTCAATAAGATATACGAATATGAGATGAACTTCAATAGAGTGTGTCGTATATAGTATTGGCTAAGATGTTTTTAAATTTATTTTACCCTTTAAATATAATTACTACAATAAGGATTTCATAATTCTTCTTTAAATATACCCTTGTTTATAAGGAGTAAATCAGCCTTTTTCATCATCTAAAAATCCTTGCTTGTGAACTCTAATTATGAATATGTTGTCGTAAACGAAAGGGAATCTCTTATTTTGAGTTACATACTTTAACCGCACATTCAATTTGAGAACTTCTTTTTTTATCCTTCCCTCTTCTTTCCACTGAAGATTCAAGTGATGTTTCCACTGTTATGACATTTAAGAAGAAAAATTCTTTTCAGAAATATTACACCAATCTGAACGAAATATTCTATATATTGAATATTTACACAAAAAATATATATATTTTATTGTTTCCATATCAGATTCCAATAAATTGAGTTGAGTGATGCTTTGGAAAGTACTTTCGTATCATCTTTTTTTTCCGTCTATCATTATTATAAATAGCTTTTTTCTTTCTCTTTTTAATCTCATTGGTGTCGCCTTACATTTGCACATTATTATTATATATTTCATCTGACCCCTTCTAATTTCCAATACTCTCTCAAGTTTATCTACCTAGCCAGCATAAGATGTAGCATTAAAAAAAGAAGAATGAGGAAGATAGCGAAGAAAGGAAAAAAAAAATCGATGGAATTCAATTACACATAAAAAATTGGTCTCTCAAGTGTGAGAAATATTTTTCATTTCTTATCATTTAAATGGCAGTTTATGGGCATATCTCCCCATTTAACCTCTTATTTCCTCTTACTTTCACTCCAATTTAACTAACCACTCAGTTGCGCAGAAAAGAAGGAAAATGTCTTACAATTCCTAATATAATAATTTTCTTTTATCATTTCTCTCATTTTTTTTTCTCCACTAATAAAATCAATGCTTGATTGCATTGAGAAGAAAAACAATTGGTTAATGAAATTTCACAATTTTCTTAAAAAAAAAATACGAGAACAAATCTAATAAACCTAATTTTCATCGATAGTCAAAAAAATAGGTGATAAATCACGAGCAAGATCATTTTCACATCCTCTCCTCTCTCTCTCTATCTCTTCTCCTTAATCTACTAATCAATTATTTAATGCATCCTCCATTTCCTCTTGCTCACTCTTCGTCAATCGAACTCTGCGGATGGAATGAGAAAAATTTAATCGTGCTCACTCGGTGCACCTGGGAAATAGTATGGCGGTGGACGTTCGTATTCCGACGAGGGTGGAGCCATCGGTGGATTTTGATATCTTGGCGGTCCTCCTTCCCAGTGTCTGCAATACAAAGAATCCCTATTAGTCCCGCAAACACTTGGATTGCACCCTTTTCCCCGTGATTTTCGTATGAGTGAGAAAATAGGAAAGTTTTTCACATGAGAATTCGATCATTTAACTCTCTTTCTCAGCCAATAACTTTGCTATTTGTCATCGAACGATTGATATCTAAATGAAGACAAAATTAACACCAAAAAATATATACTGCTCAAATAATATAAAAGCTTTCCTCACTCACAGGATAACCTCATTATTTCAACAGCCCTTTTTTATACACACATTAAACATTCAAAACCCGTCACCATATAATTGATTTACCAAAATAAAACCTCTCTTCATCAAATATCCATACACATCACCAACGACATCACTTTGACGCAACAATTCATCATAGTTTCTATTACTCAATTACTTGGTAAGACAACAATTCCAAAAAAAATATTTCTTAGGGTGAGAAAATACGTGAGTAAATGACATTGATGTTTCAACTGAACGAACAGAGTAATGTGGTGATCATTCTTACTAAAATTGCTGACCAATTAAGAGGGATCTTTCTTTTATGCGGCCTAGAAAAATTGTGATCTGTTCAGTTTCCTCAGGGATTTAGGCGTTTGTTTCCGATCGAACCGACCAGCGGCCGATGGTGAGGTTTTTTCGGGTGCCGTTGGTGATTGACCCGCTGTTATGTAGAAAATGTTCGACGGAGAATTTGGTGACGAAAAAGCATTGTTATTTCCATCTGAGCGATAGAAACTACGCCATCGTAAAGTAAAGGAGTTATTAAATTATAATTATAATTAAACTTGCAGGTTAATTCTCAAGCATGTCATGATCTCAATAGTGAAACGTACTTTGGTGCCATGTCATTGTAGCGATTATCTCTGGAGCCGCCAGGTGAGTTTGAGTCTTCATAGTAATCCCGCGGATCACGTGAATTCCTCCGGCGTTCGTACTTCTTATTCCGCCTCTTGTGTTTTGGTCCACTGTTGGGAAAGAAGTAGGAAAACGAAGGAACGTATTAGAAAAAATATGCCTCAATCGAGTCAAATATTAGATAATAAACGCTCAATGGATAACAAGACACATACTTTGCCAATGGAATGTTGTCCCTCTCACTATAAGCATCATACAAATATTCACTGCATTGGCCAGACAGACAATGAAAGAGATGGAAAACATTAATATTTATCCACATGTACAATTGCAATGAGACAATCAGAGTGAAAGGTGACTTTCGGCATATCAACCAGTACTTACGATTCAACAAGAGGTCCGGGATAGGGATCGGATTTCTGGTAGAGACCAGACAGTTTCACGCATAAAATCACCGTTGGGATGAATATGAGAACACACCATCCAACGCCAGCCCAGAATCCATTCTGCAAACACATCAAAACACGCATTATGTCAATGTTCAGTCTTGACAAAATTCAGTTCAACTCACAAATGGATCAATGATTCTATTGCAGGCCGCCACAAGTGTTGCATTGTACACATTGGAAATGGGTCCGCATCGTCCCAAATCATTCTCCGTGGTCTTTACAACCAATTCCAGATACGTTGTGATTTCATTGCGGAAACCTGTTGTCAGTTCACTGATGACTTGCCGAACAAATTCCGTGCCATTTTTATTGATAAACTCTTGCGCCTTGTCCGTCTCAACGAGGAATTTATTGATGGCCTCCTCAAAGGACGCAGAATTGAAGTGGAGAGTCTTATCGAGGTCCAGCGCCAGCATTAGAATCTCATTCTTTCCATCCATCATCGGTGTCACTAAGCTAGTCTGATACGTTCTCAAGTGCAACGCTTGATTCTTCAAACTCATCTTAATATCATTCATATTGGACGTGTCTGGAATCTTTGCAGCCGTCTCATCCAGCTTCACTGCCAATTCTGTCAAATTGATCTTTGTGATGTCATCAGTGAGATGCTGCTCAAATTTGTGCGCTGGGAAATTGTTCAACTCAGACGCGGCCAATTTCTCAATTTCCGCCCGAGCATCGCTGTTGAGAATTACCAAATTGCTCTCCACCTCGACACTCCTTATCAAGTCATCAAGCAAACCGTCGATGTTGTACTTTTCAGGATAGCCACGAACCTGAGCAATGTCTAAGAAGTTGCGCAATTGCAGCACCTCATAAGCCGCCTTGTTGCTGTGACATGCCTCAATCACCTGTGAAATCCTGAAAGGTGCCGTTTCACGCTGATATTGCCTCACTTTGGCACTCTTGCCGCGATTATTGGAAGACGATGGATAGATCACAGTGTTGAGATCAATGAGTTGATCCACATAATTGAAAATTTGATCATCAGTTGGATTTCTGTAAGCATACGCAAAAGAATCATTCAATTTTGTGTCTAAAACTCTGTAGTTTTGCATATAAAAACTCACTTGAGAGATACACAAACACCACGATGAGCAACCAATCCCACGAGGAATTGAATAAGTGCTGCCAGTGTGAGCAAAGACAGTGTGAGAAAGATCACAGCCACGGCCCTGCAAAAGATAAACATCCTCCGTTAGACATAATTTACGACTGAGGAATCATTCCAAACACAATCGATTGAGAAAGTCACTATGGTTCCTCTTCTGTGCATGCACATTGTGGTGAAAAATCGGTGAAAGATACCATCAATTCTTTCTCAATCAACCAGTCTGCAAGGATTTGTGATACAAACATCATGAGGAATCTGCCACCGGCTCCCTTATTGCAGCAATCATCGCCGTATCCGTCGGGTCGCTTGCCGCAAATGCCACACAGAAGGCCCATGCAGACGCACAGGAGGATGAGCAGAAGGACAGAGCTGATGGCCAGGCCGGCATAGTAGCGATAGACGCTGTACTCTCGAATGTATTCATCGGCCATGTCAAAGTATTTATACGTGTAATTCCCCGAGAGATCCGATATTCTATCGATGGCCCGCGTGACTTCGTTGGATATATCCTTGATTGCCAGTCCAGCCTCATTGATTGCCATGCTCACTTTGGGAATATTCTCCCCAATCACGTCGTTTATCTTCTTCTTCACATCCTCCACCGCCTGTTGGCCGTTCGCCAGTGAAGACATCAATTTGCCCGTTATCAGCGCATTGACATTATCAATTGTGTCTGTGACATCTGGAAGCTGCTCGTGGTGCATTTGAGAAGCAAGAAAAGAAACAACAGAGAAAGTCTAATTAATTGAGAGTCTTTTCACTGATAAGTCTCAATGGTCGCAATGGACACGCACACACTTAAAAGAAAAAAGTCTATCTCAAGAGTGTGATAAACAACAATTGATGGTTGAAAGAAAAGAAAAGCCACAGCAAGAATAATAATAATAATTTAAAAAAAAAATGTCACTGAAAATCAAGTTGAATTGAAGCAATTAATTCAAATATTCACTCTTCTCTACTAAATTATAATCTCATGTTGCAGTAATGTAGAAAACCAACATATTTTTCACAGGAATTTCCACAAGAGAATTTATTATACAGCACAATCCACTATCCTTTATTTATATGTGCTGAGGGAGAAAAATTTCATTCATTTTCCTACCATACACAAGATTAAATTCAAACCCAATGGAGACATTCATTAAATAATACTGAAAAACTCTTCATTGTCCCCGATAGAGAATTCATATTTTCCATATTTTGTTATTTCAATTCAAGTGAAAAAATGTATAATAAAAATAAAGAATTTTACTAAAATAATTTATCATTCACATGGTTGAAAATAGATGTGTGATTAATGCCAAAATAAAAATGAATTACACTGTGTCATATTTCAAATGAACTTCTATACTTTCAAGCGAAGAACCAAAAATAAAATCTCTGTAAAATTAATGTCTTTTCTGTGTGAAACATGCAATTATTTGTCTACCCACAATTTTTCTTTTACAGTATATACACTATTTATTTTTAGTAAGTTGGAGTGGAATGTGAAAAGCACTGCAAAATGTAATAGGATGACAATCAAAGGAGAAAAAAGAAAACTAGACGACACGTCATGGAGAAAATAAAAATAGCAAACTGAGGAAAATACAAATAAAAAAAGAAGTTGATAGTAAAAAAAATTTCATCTGCAGATGACTGTGCATTTGAGAAGCAAGTCTGAAATGTTCGGAAAAACGTACCCGAGGAAAATACCTGTCTAGCATCTTGGCATGTAAAAGAAGAAAAGAAGAGAAATCATTTATGTGAAGGAAATAGCAGACTTTTTTTTTTCTTCACTCTGCTGCATCTGAATTACCTGAGGACATTTTACTCTACAAGACTTCTCTTCATATCACATCTTAATGCTAATATAGAAGGAAATTGTTGAAATACACAATTGTGAAATATTTCATGACGGAATACTCATATTTCTCTTATTCGATTGATTTTTCTTCATCTTCTCACTCAATTACAACACTGTCTTTCTCGCAGCAGAGTTAACATCATGAAATATTTCTTCACGTGGTACAAAATGTTTTCTCACTGATGAAAATTGGACGGATGAGGGTAAGAAAGGTTGAAGTGTCTCTACTTTTCGAGCGTCGTTAGCGTGAAAAGTGTAATGTCTCTTCTGCTTACATATTTCATTCATTTACCTGATTATAGTCAATGCCATTAACATCCAGCGTTCCAATTTCATACTGTGTCAGGACATCGCGACAAGCGGCCGCATCGCACGATGTTAGCGAGTTGAGAAGCCGTCCCTTGACACTCCGAAGTCCTGAAAATTAGATGAAGACTTAATAATGCAAGCCGACCAACGGAATTAACACGGTAATTCCTCCGGACGTCATCCACCAAACCACCCACACTCACCATCATTCAATTGTGATGCATTTGCCCGGAGATCGTTTGTCAGCTCCTTCAGACGCTCGAGATTCCTCTTCACCTGCGGCAGTGTCTGCACAAAATTATTGAGCTGTGTCAGTGATGTCGCATTTGAAGCCTCATCCAGCCTCGTCATCGTCATTGTGGCCGTCTCATTGAGCATTTGATGCAGATGATGCGATAGTTCATTGTAGTTCCTCACGAGTAAGTGATTTATCTCGCCCGACGTGGTCTTCAGGAAGAGCCTCGTGTCACCGACGCCCTCCTTGGCAGACACCGTGGCATTCTCAATGCCCTGCTGCATATAGCAATTGGTGACGAACGCCACCACCACACCAAACACTATTCCCGTTCCAGTGCAGATGAGGAAGAGACCCAGGAAGACACGACGGCAAGTATCGTGCTTCTTGTCGAACGGCTGAGATCGTCCGCCACACGCTCCGGCACAGCGACAGCAGCAAAAACAGAATCTGCACAGCACACAAATGGCCAGTGAGTGACAATGAGAAAAGGGCCAAACGGAAGTGTCCACAAACACTCCATTCTTCTTACCCAACAATTGGCGTGAGAACTATTATTAGCGCTGCCACGGAGACAACCAGCAAAATGGCCCAATAGTGTTTAGCCAAATCACCGTATTCGTGATTCTGCACTTTCGGCCCAAAAGCAACACTCCGATCCGACACAATTATGTAACCTGTAAGCGCAAAATACGCCAAAATGTTAATGGAAAGTGGCAACAGAGCGGATATATTGGGAAGGTATGTATTGAATGTAAGGATATATCAACAATAGGGATTCATCAACTATTGATATTGTGGCATTTGATAAATATCGTGCGGCTTATTCAACCATATTTGATAATGCCAATGAAAGTTACAGGATAAACATGATTAGTTTATGCCAAGGTGTATTGTAACATTTGAAAATGTAATCATTTTGCACTTCAAATCAGTCACAGATTAGCCCAATATTTGAAAGCATTTTTTTTCAATGACTAGATAAACATGACTTTTTCCTACTTCTGAGAAACACTACTTTAACTTTGTAATATTCCCTATTATGTTCGCATCAGTGCGAAATTTCTCACAATTTCTCCCAACAACTGTGTGTGCAATTGGTAAACATAGAGTTTCAATATTATTAACTTGAATTATAAGCACGAAATTCCATAAAGTCGGAAACCATAGATTACAGATTTGCACTTGTAAACACACCAAGACGAGTAATTATTTTTGCAAACCGAAAGACAAACCGACACGGATTATTTGTTTATATAATCATATACCACGTCTCGTGAATAATATAAAAAGTCAAGTCTTCCATAGGAATAAGGTCATGCTTGGAAAATCATTTTACATGCTGTTTCACCAATAGAAAACTTTGGTGGAAAACTTTGTCTTGATCCTAGAAAATTTTTGATTCCAATTTATTTTATTATATACGAATTGTTATAGGATTCTTTAGCACTTTTGTGTGTTTTTACGTAACTCTGAAATATCATTTCTCACAACTGAAACAACTTTTGCAAACAAACCCAACGGAAAGAGATTACTTTAGTGATTAAGGCATTACTCAATAAAACATCACTCTTTCGACTCTCTTAGTCTTATCACAATTTTTATCCTAAGAGGAGGAAGCAATAAATAAAAGGGGAAAGCACTTTGAATATCATGAATATAAATGATCACATTGACCGAATCAAACAAGGTTACGGCTTAGAAGACTGCAAAACGTTCTTGGAAATACCATCTTCTTCTCTGCTGTATAACTTTCTATTTGGGTCACTGCCCCAAATTTCTTTTGGCGCAGCAGAATAAACCACTGGCGAACGGAATTTCACTGCAATGCAACATTCAACTACTTCAATATCTTCAATTCACATTGAAGCTTCCTAATTAATCTTGAAGCCGCAGCGTATGAAAAAAGGGAGAGCGAGATATCAATTGAATGAATTTATTATTATTTCTATCAATTGCTGTACAAAAGAGAATGTTCAACGTCCATCAGCCACTCTCAATTTATTCCCCACTACAATCACATAATATTTGTTTCATTTTGAGAAATCTTTTGTATGCAACAACACTATATTTCACTGCAAGTGTTACTGAATGGAAAGAATGTCCAAAGGAAAATGCATGTGCAATAAATTTCAATATTTTCCACTATCTTGTGCGCCATACAGCTGCAGAGAGAAGTTCAATTCAGTGAAATATGTAAACTTTTTGACTTATTTCAATTCAAATTGTTGCATTGGCGCTGCGACAGTGCGATTTGTATTGCAGCTTTATTGGAAAATACTGTAAGCAATGGCTCTAGAGAGTCACACAACGACAAAAAAAACATACATATTGAGTGTGGCAATGAAATTGAAACCACCCTAAAAAGTTAGACATCAAGAGAATTCACAGCTGAAAAAAACTACATTAATGAACTGGCTGAGTGCTAAGCCGACCATATTTCATAATAAAGTGGCGCAATTTTCACATTTCGCCAAATGTGACGAATCTTTAATTTGTACAGACGGCCATTCAGTCCACAGCACTTTAAATTGTTAGGGTACAAAAAAATGGGAATAATTAATTGAAACCCCAATTATATCGTAATGCAATACAAGTTCCTATTCTGAGCATCCCATAAACCAAGAGTGAATGAATGAAGTAACACACATTTTTTTACAATTCAATGACACGCTAAGAATTGAAAGAGGAGCCAAATCATAAAAATTCCGCCATTGTTTGCATGCTCTTAGTTCTTTTTTTCACATCTCATGTTTTGATTTGGTCAAAATGAAGCCATTGTATCTCATTCATTAGGCCGTGAGATGAATTATATGGGCCATTTCTTTGTGATTTCGCGTCGAAGAGCACACATCATCATGTTCCGTCATTCATTTCTCTCTCTTTGTGTACACTCTGCAAAATCTATCAACAGAAAAAAAAATCAACGCTGACTCACCGTCTTAACATCATTCACCATTCGCTCCAATTTAATCTCATAAATTACTAATTGGAGTTGTTGTATTTTATGTTATCATATCACTTCATTTCACACCATTCTATTGTCTCTACAAGAAAGTAATTATCGAAAATCTCTTATCAAAAGTCTCTTATCTCATTTCACTTGAATCGCGAAATTACATTCTTCCGATTGCCTTACAAAAAGTGATTTCATAAATTAAATATCAAATACAATAGGCCAATCTTAACTTTTATTAAGTTCAAACACTGGCAGTGATAAGCTTGATACGGTTGATAAGGCGGAAGAATAGGTCATTAGATTTTATCAAGAGGAAAGGAAATTATTTCTATTGTCATCAGCTTATCCATACATATTGACTCATATTATTATCAGGGGAATTCCAGTGAAGAGCTCAATTGGCTGAATTCCAAAACTCAAATTGGAAAACAACCTAAAAACACCGGATAAGATACTACATATATTCTCATTTCCAGACTTGCAGAAATTATTGAATTCTTCCAAACTAGTTAGTCATTCTCATGCCTCCACACATTTCTCTGCTAGAGCAATTCACATCTAATTGTTTTATTGTATCCTATCAAGTCTTTGCAGTAGTTGGAATTCATATGCACTCACTCTCAAGTTAATTTCACACTCAAGACGTCGAGCAGAGAATATGCACAATAAAGATATCCAGGGCATCGTGAATAGTCTCTTGACCCATAAATTTTACATACAGTCACAAGGGAAGAATGCACGGTGGAGAGACAGCGTGACGACGTAAAAGGAAGATGATATAAATATATGTGTAAAGAATTTTCCAGCATATTCTGCAATAAATTCCGAGACGCTACATTATGAATCATATAATATTTTTCAACAAAACATTTGTGTGTGTGTGTGTATGTGAAATAAGATCCTATAAAAAGAAATAGGTACTTTTCACATTTCGTGAATTTTTACAAGAAATAAAACATGGAGTATTTCTCATGACAACATCACAACAACTTTTCTACGCACACCCGAGATATGAAATAGAATATTTTCTCTTCAATGATTTAATTAGCGTGGCTCTTGTCAAATCTCTCACTCTTTGCATCTTCTCAAACTGTGAGCTGAAAATAGTCTGGGATGCTACTAATGACGGTGGACAGATTGGCAGAAAATACTGTGAGAGCTCCTCTTTTCTTCTCTCTCTCCTTCAGAAACGCAAAGCCACACACCAAGGCAGGCATCCAAGTGATTTCATCATCAATTGCTATTACGAGCTGTTGACTCTTTAAGAGATTGGAGGATGGAAAATATGGAGCTCATTGAAACGTGTTTCATGCTAGGTTTTCTTTCTTTCTTTAAACACGCCACACACTTCTTTTATGCACTACTCATTCTTTGACACCAAGAAGTTGAGCGATTCTTAGTGTGAGTGTTCTCATTTTTCTACATACACAAGGAATAAAAAAGTGCACATTTAGTCACATAGTTGGAGAGGTAAATAGCTTTATCCACCTCAATATCTGCACATATGAAGTTGCGTAAGTTGCTACCCGGCTTAATAAGGTAATTAATTAAAATATGGGAAAAAGCAGTGGTTCATTAAACTCCCCCATACTGAACCTTCCACTCTGGAGAGCGACTCAATTAACATGATAATTACATTATGACACTTACTAGCTGAGATAATCAACACACACACAAACCCTCAGAACAGCAATATATCTTTAGAAGTTAAGTCTACTTTAAATTCTTCTTGGCAACAAAACAAACCGTCATTGGAGACAATTACATATAATTTGAAGTGAAAAGACTCCGATCTCCCCTTTACAATCATGTCTACCCGAAGCCAATTGATAATAATAATGGCAGGTGTTTCTTTAGCACACTCATCATCATCCTCTCGTTTTTCCATGATTGCACGCCTCACGGGCTGCAACTGTAAACTGTTTCACTAGTAAAAATTAAAACAAAGAGACAGATCAAGATAAAACTGTGTCAATATAACGGGGATGCCATTTGTCATATATAATTGGTTGTTAAGCCCTCACAATTCGTGACTTTGGGGCATGAACAATTATCGAGAAATTTCCCTAGTTCGATGTCCCCAAACTTCACGCCCAAAACACATTACTTCTTCACAGTAAAATTGTGTATTAAAATTACTTGGCAACATTCTCATACACCTGAACTTGACTCATTCTCGTCCTCTTTGCCAGAATTTGCAAATAATTCGCGAATAGTTGGAGACAATTTCAGCGTCTGTTGCTTCCGCAAGCAAAGGTGCACACATTAAAGAGTGAATATAAGAATGGCAATTTTAACTAACCGTTTGCTTGAAGAAAACGCAAGTTGTCTTTGTTTACCACAATGTCAATTCACTATCATTTTTCACAGTTTGCCCATGAGACAAAGCAAAATGAGGAAGAAGCCACCCAGAGACGCGAAAAACTTCTATTCCGTTAAAAACTTATTAGCAGATTACTGTAAACACAATAATAATAATACAGTCAGACAATTCTGATCTATTAGCAAGATATCACTTTTGTATATCTCAGAATTAATTCAAATAAAACTTCAAGTCACTAGGAAATATATCCACTTTCTTTTGAATTAGCATTGCAAGTACTCAACACTTCATCAACTACATAGAAACAGTCTGATAACGGTCTAATTTCATTACCATCATTACCATAATAACAAAGTACTTGAGTGTAAAGCTAAACACTTAACCGTGCTTTAATGTTAATCCTAAGAATGATTCACGATAACGCTTGATAAAATAGTAATCAATATTGAAATCTAATTACTAATTAACATACATGTTCAAAAGGATTTCTTCAAATTTTATAATATTTGGGCCAAAACTATTGCGTACTGAATTGACAAGAATCATGATAAGGATTTATTTGCTTCACCTTCAAGTACCCTTCTAAAGCATTTATTAATTAATATCTAATTTCAGCAGATATTATTTATAACATTCAATTAACCCATAGAGAGCATCGAGAGGGTAAATAGTTTTCTGATTGATAGTCTGTTCCGTGGCATCAATCAAATTGAATCAATATTCCATGGAGCAATCATAAAGTGATGGAGAAGATATGAAGCTTCAGACTCACCTTCTGGTATCGCATCGGGACCAATGAACAAATCCAGAACACGATTGGTAATCTGATACATCGGTGCCATCCCACGAGCGTGATATCCCGTTGAGCTGATGTACGTGACATTCTGTTCCCAGTTGGAGAAGGATGTCTCCTTGAAATCCAAAATCCGGCCACCATCGTATGCACCTCTTGCGCCAGTCACAACCATCGGCAGTGAAACCCAGAAGAACAGTCTTGCAAAGTCATAGAGAATCGCCATCATTGCGTGCTTCCTCGTGCTCCAAAATCGCCCAGCAAGTGAAATACTCCGCCTGCAAGTGATTGAGTGAAAGAAAAAGTATGAGGGCAATGGACAGTTAGCAGCACAACATCCGTGTACTTTCCACTAAATACAATATAATGGATGTATTTATTTATTTTTTGCAATTGTCCGGCCACATTCGATGGGGAAAACGATGTGCCTGCACAGCGAGAACAGACAAATTATTGTCTGTGGGGATACAAACATCATTATGGTCACTCGTCAATCCACCCATGTTCGGTCTCCCCATCGGCATTTACTTTTTTTTCTGTCACTTACCCGGGGAAGAGACGAGCATAATAATAATAATAAAAGATCACATCGTCAGCGAAATGATGGGGCAAGTGAGCCACACATCAAAGTGGGTGATTGGGTCACTTGACTATGACCGAATGGGTCAGCAAACTCCGTACAATGTGTCACCACAGGGAGAAAGTAGTACGAATTTAGCAGCGCCTCGTCACACATTTTCCCAAGCATATTTTACACTTCCAGCACCACCCAACAAAAATACCATCCTGCAAAGGCCAAATTTTTCCTGACACCACACACCAATTTGATATACGAAAATGGTCAGCAATATTGATTTTCTTGTCTCTGGGGCACCGCAATAAAACATAACCATAGATGAGTGAATTCTAGAGACCAACGATGGAGTGCCAATAAAATCCCAAATATGGGATTTCCCATGGTGAAACAGGACACAGAAAAATCCTGGCACAGATGCAAAAATTCACAGAATCCCCACTGAGAGACTTTTCATTTTCATCTCACTTTTTTTTTAGACAGAGAGAAATATTGGTCAAAAACAGGGAAGAACTATGCATAGAAACCGCTACAGCAATCACCATCAAAAGCTAAACCGTCATGTCATGTTATATCATATGAGCTGCAACAGTAGAACAAGATTTTTTACACTGTGACAACAAAGAATATTTACAACTTATTTTAAAAGTTCCACTATATAGTTTCAAGTCAAGCACAAACCATACGAATCATAGAGTGTCTAGAATCAAAATTAACTTCTAACTATCAACAGAAACAGTCAGAGTGATGACAAGTTCTCTTAATTATGTCGGTCAGTGTGGGGAAGACACTCAATAGCGGCAAGCAACAGTGAGTCAAACGCAACTCAGCCAGAGGCTATTTACATGATGTCGGTTCAATGACACTCTCGCATTTTACTGAGGGTCCCCTACACTTTTAATTTAACCCACCCAGAGAAGCTCCACAGGGCTGAAAGTCACATACAAATGTACGAGTTAAAACACTAGATGAAATGGAATGAAAGCAATGAACTCAAAATGCAATAATTACACACAGAAGAACCAATTAAGCATTATTTAGATACTTGGAGTGTAAGATGTTTTAGTATAAAGTACTGTGTATTCTATTTAAATCGAATTAAATACAAAAAAAAATAGTATTAGCAATTGAAATCAGATGAGATTGAAGTAAAAGGAAGGAAAATTATTCTCCCCAGACATTTATGTAACTTCACTCAACATTTTTCTTCCATATATACAAAATATGTATGATTGTATGCAAAGGTGTTGCCTCCACTCACACTGCCTTTTTCTATTCCTACACACTATTTTACGTGAGAATTACGTTCTCGTGAGAGTAAACACTGCACAGCAACGGTGAATATGAAGTTTCACTGACGATCGTTCACAGGCGAATAAACAAAGCTACGAGATATTAGAATTCATTATTAAACACTTCCACTGATACCGTCTTGAGGACTAATCTCACTTGCTAATCTCACGATTCGCGCGTTATCGCATTCGTGAATTGTGAATTATGACATAATAAATCATTATGTAGAATTCTTTTTCACGACTCATACAGTACTAAATTCTTCTATTTCACCTAAAACTAGCCTACAATCCTTCCAATATAAGCTAAATGTAACTCTTATGTAGTCCATTGAAATATCACACGCGAAAATCTTCACAAGATAAGAAAACACGAGTTGTGACGTTCATTCAACAATGCGCAAAAACGCGTACATAATGTGATTGTTTCTGATGTGGGAAAATTAAAAACGTTCAATGCAAAAATTTTATGACCTTTTACTCCATTTCATTGTTATTAACTCGAACGATAAAAAATACCGTGCGATTTAATTTCTTCATTCTCATGCTAAACTTGAATTCATACTACCTATTACAATTGCCACTACTGTATTTACTTTATCATCAGCAACAAAACAAACAATTGCCAATATTTACAGTCACGAAATTGTCTTAGAAACACCCTTGGTCACTCCAGTGTTAAACAAAATTGTATTACTGTGCATTATCACGAAACATAAAAGAACATTTCCATGTTAACCGAAAACAAAGAACGGTGGAATATAGCATTTTCTTTTTCCAACTAATCGCTGACAATACGAGAAACAATTCATTAACTTTTCCAACGCACTATCGTGTTTGTATTACATTTTTATATTCACCTGAACTAGACCCACATATTTGTGTATATGTAAATATTTTTCCTGAACGTAAAATTTTCACGCACATTACACTTCACGATATTTCATTACGCACGAGAATCCATATTTAGCGGGCAAAAGAAAATCCAATTACATTTTCTGCCTCGCGACCTTCTTCGCAAGCAACAACAATGTGGGTTCCTCTTTCTCTCGCATCTGTCTTCTCTCAGTGCTGCCACCTCCAATATATTCATTCATATCTTGCATTTACGCTCTTTTTTTCTTCACCCAACGCAACATGTAAAACTCGCGTCATCGGATGCAAATGAACACTGAGAAATTCAATTCTTTCGTAGGTGAACATGTGCGAGTGAGTTTTCATCCCACGCGTATCAAATTTAAGGTGACAAGACGAATAAAGTATTACAAAGGAGAGTGAAATCTAATACATTTTGTATGCAACAAATACATTATTTCTAGAGTTACTACGCACGTTATAGGCAAATTTCGTGTATTATTATCTACTTCCTCTGAATTCTAAATTGCGCAACACTTGCATAAAAACCAAATCACAACATTGACATACTAAAAAATATTAGTACACATACAAGACACCATAAAAGATAATTTCATCACCAATCACAGTGTTCAGCGAAGCAATTTTTTTTTTGATCAAGTGCCTTCGACATTGGAATAATAAAATGAAGCGAAAGGTTTGAACGCAGCACTTAAAATGACATTAAAATCAGATACGTACAGTACAAGTCGACACGTTTCAGCATAAAATCAATAAGGAAAATGTGTAAAATAAAAATAAAAGTGTCTTCAACTTTAGGTGCAAAGGTGTTTCAGTGTATTTCCCTCTCACCGTTCTTCCCAGAGACAAAGCATTTGACAGCAAACGCATGAATGTACAATGAGAGAAAGCAAAATTCTCTAAAAAGTAATGAGAATATATAAAAAATGCGTATGTACTTCGTAATGTCAGATAACACATTCTCCCATCGGAAAAGACCAACATTTATGACGACAGAGTGGCTGCGCGAATAGATAAATAAGCACTTGAAGAGACAATCTTGGCGTTGGGACATGATAAGAAAATTAAACAATGTCCGGATGCCAACTTCTCTTCAAATTAGCTTTACCGACTGTACACAGAAAAATGCAGAAATTATACTTCTGTGCGCTATATAACTCAAGTGTGTCTTGTCCGTGTTGCTAAAATAAATATTTATTTAGAATTTCAACCAACTTTTGCGCAATGCCAATTTGTATCTAGACAAATTTGTCTGTGTTTTGGCTATGTTGAGATTGTATTTCCGGCCAAGGAAATATTTCTTTTCTCTTGTTAAAAATAAAATTCTTCCACTTCCAATCCTTTTGTTTCCTTATCTCTTGCACAGAAGTTCTAAACATTGATTGAGAATTTATAGTGCCATATCTTCTCATGCATCCAACAATTTCGTAAATATTTACAAAACTCTGCAGCTCTCTTTTCTTTTCTTGCCACAAAATCTCGCTGTGAGCATCTTTTCTCTCTGTCTCCCGTTTCTTCCGAACCCTGACACAATTTTCTCATTTGCAATTATTTGTAAAGTTAACGCACAAGAAATTACTGATTTAGCACATTTACGTATGTTTTATTACGTTCTCTTTCAGAAAAATAACAAAAGAAAATTAAACAGTGCAATTAAAAAACATATATAGACATATATTTACGTGCAACATGAGAAATAGCATAATTCAGTTTTATGATAAAGAGATAGCTACTATGAATTATATTATGATCAGTGACGTAAACATTCTCACACAGCACATATCTAGTTTCTTCCCGATAAGAAGTGAGTAAATGTTGCCGAATTCGTCAGCGGAATGCAATATTCATTGAAAAAAAAATACCCAACTTATCTTTCAGCGATTTTTCTATCACACAAGATGAAGTGAAGTGCTTAAAGTCAAGAAAACTGTCGAGATGTGAATACCAAATATCATTTCACTATCTTTCGAGGATCCAATTTCACCAAACACCTCAAGAAATGTACCGTCAAAAATACACACAATTTGTAGTCAACATCCGGCCACGTCGTTTGTCAAGATGCGCGATAGTGCCATAAAATCACACCGCTAAGTGATCGTGTAATATCTCTACACCAAAATACTGTCAAAAATTTCAGCGTGAAAAATAAGTGAGAGCTTCAAAAATCAGCCATCCAATTAATTGGTGCTTCCGAAGCTATACGTTGCAAAAGCACACAATCCGTGAAAAGATACACCATCAATTTCTATGCCATAATAAACAGCTTGTTTGCTATCATCGAATACAATGGGGTTGCGTGAAAAACGAATATGGAGCAATCCACTTGTGACTAAATTAATATGGGAAGAGACTTTATGGGAGGTAAAAATGGGTGATGTTAAATAAAAATCTCATAATCTTATTATATATATCGCTTCATACATATTACAGCCCAAAACACACGTGTATTTTGTGGCTTACTGAAGTTCCTCGTGCAAAGGCAATAATAATCTAACAAACACCAACGCATTGTTTCGAAAAAAAATACACCTATTGTGTGTTGCAAATGCGCTTCATTCGCAAACCCAACTGCGAAAATGATCATTCGGCAGTTGCAAATTGTGGAAAGAAATCCCAATGAGTTGATGGGGAATTAAACTTCAAACAGGTTTATGCGTCATATGCCAGCATTATCGCGCTTTAACGGTAGATTTCATGTGTGTTAAATTACAAGATGAGTACAAATTTGAATTTTATACCTCACACCGAATGTGATTCATACATTCGCCCCATTGTTATTCACATGGCAAATTTTTCTCTAGCAGATTTGCTGAAGAAGGTCAGAAAAAAGTTCCATTTCGTCGCACAGTCCAACAACAAGATGTTAAAAGAAATATTCTCTTGGCAGTGCGGTGATAAATTGTTGTAAATCCCTCTTGGAGGCACCAAAGGAGACGAACAAGAAAGAAGGCAGCCTCAATCTACCACTGAGAAACAACTTTTGCGAGACTCTGAATTGGCATTAGGTAATCAACGTCTTTTTCTTCAGCCACTTTTTAACACGCTCTCCACTCTAAACTACTATTACTAATCAGCTGCGGCAAATTCGAGTAATTTTTGAGAGAAACTGAATGAAGTAAAAACTAGAACAGTCATTGAAGCACAACACCTTCTCCACTCCTTCCATCATTTCATTCCATTTCTTCCATCGCTGCGGATAAGCAATACTTGAATGCTGTCTCAAGACATATTTATCCTCCAAAGGGAAAAAGAAACAGAAGTAATTTACTCTGGAAAGGGACACACATGTGTGACATCTCTGCCGGAGAATTCAACTTTTTAGGCAGGGAAAAAAAACGCTGTGCAAACGTCTTCCCATTCATCAGTGAAATTCATGAGAAAATGAAAAGCATTTTCGAGCGATGCTCTCACAAGACATAATTTAAGAACGTAATTTTCACAGTGATACATTTGGATTAAGCAGAATCGGATTAGGTGAACCCTTTATAGACTTTTAATTGCATTCATCTGTAGTTGTACATTTCGACCTCAATTTAACAATATGCCTAATATTTTAAACAGTTTCCTATTCTCTGGCAGGAAATACCTACTGATAATCTTATTTCAATGCATGCTTCTATTGGTGAACAAAGTCATTGACTCTTGAGTGTGTCTCAAAGTTAAAGATTGACCTTAACTAACTGGAATAATCACATAATGGTGATTATTCCGGATTGTTACTGTATGAAGGATACAATAAATTTAACACCACCAATTTTTCAACATTCAAGATTCCACACAATTCGATTTTACGCGGTAAATTGGCAATTACAAATCAGCTGCTGGGTATTTGCAAAAAAAAATAACCACACATCATTTTCATATTTACACAAACAATCATTTGACACATCATTTAATCCACAAAAGGTGATGATGAACAACTGAAAAACAACACAGGAAGTGAAATCATGTGTTTCGCATTTCAAAGACCATTTACCAATTGTAATTGTACCTTTTTATCACATAAACTTCAGCAAACACATTTTGTCCAGCGAAATCCACAAAGATTCCCAACGTACACCCTTTTTTTCATCACAACAATTCTACAATTAGAGGCAAAAACCTTTCTGAAATAGCAATGTAAAGAGAAAGAGATAATGACCGGAAGCCAACTCGACTCTCGTATTTATGTGTGTTTGAACAAGCAAAGGGTTCCTCTCTCTCTCTCTGCAATCGTCATCTTACAGTAAGAGGACGCTTCTTGCATCTAACTCAAATCTGTCATGTGACGTCTCGTTGAGAAAGATAAATGGAAGCAGCCATTTAAAATACTATAAAAATAGAACTATCCTTATTGCAATCGGTTTTGAACACAAATTAAAAGAGAAAAAAAAACATATAAAATATGGCCAAAAAACCTTCACTTTTTGTCTGTTTACAACCTCTGGAAGTTTCCAGATAATTTATATTCTAGCTACAGATTTGAATCAATTCATGATATCGAATTGTATATGTAAAGAAATTTTAACTACAAGTAAATACTTTCTGGGATTTTGTTTTGAAATCTTCTCCCCTTCGCTACTTGGCTCCTTTCCAATTCGATTTCCCAAATGGGAAGGAAAAAAAAAGTCCACCATCAAAGACTAGGACGTTTCGGTATGGATAATCAATGTGGGTGCTTTCCGTGGCAACACTTTCTCCCCCCATTACACGTTCAATTATAACCACATTAGCTTGTCCTGCTGTGAAGAAAGAAAAGACCCCAACGCAGAGCCTCGGCAATTAATAAAGATCCCGTGCGGCTCCAAAAATTGCTGGGTGTGGCCTTCATGTCCAATTTTCACCTTCACTCGCAACCTATATGCTAGACAACATCGGAGGAAATGTTGCACGTGAGAATTTGCACGAAATGAAGAAAAATTGGCCAAGGAATTCATATCATAATTGATGATCATCCAACACACCTTCGCTCTCATACTAATTCCCTCTGCTTAGACGCACTCTTTCATTTCAGTCTGTTTTTTTTTTCTTTCTATGAACAATTCTCCTGAATCTTGTGCAGGTGGATTGATTCCCCTTGAGATTAATACGATGAAAATCACTGACCGTAACATCACGCAATTGCCTGCAAATTTTTCAAGTGTACAGCAGAAGAACAAATCCCATTATTCAGCAATGTTTATTATCATTTTTTCTCTCTCAGTCCTCATTCAACTCTGGGAAGTTTGCTTCCTATTTTTCCAGTTTGTGTGATCTGTTGTCACAAAAATTGCAACTTTCACTTGAGTCAAAGAGCTATACTTAAATTATTGGGCATTGGCATCGCTCAAAGATGCCACTTTAGATTAGGTTCCTAGCAAATTTCTCTGAAATGAGACTGAAACTTGTATTTCAAGAACAAGTATGTAAATTTCTCACCCTATTCCTTTCTGAGAAAGGCAAATTTGAGAAGGGATTAGAAATCAAGGGTAAAAATGACTCATAAAACTAGGCTTGAAATTTAACCGATGTTAAGTATTCACTAAAGGCTCTTCATTTGACTCCTGTGTTCACGCATATTTGAAATGGTATTCGAAAAACACAAATTTATATTGAACAGCAATACAATTAAGGAAGTTTTCTTTCTTTGAAATTCATAAGATGTCTTGAAAACCGGTGTCTCATGTCGCAAACAGAGTAAGTTGCTATTTTCCACATGATTAAAGGAAGAAGCTTGATTCGTAAATTGAAGAATCTCGATTGTGTGGCACGATAAGTGACGCGACATTGCAATAGCAACGACAACTCCAATCGTAATTACTTCATTGAGGCAATTTGACAAAATGTTTATTCATTATCTAATCTCAGCTAAATGGCAGGAGGAATTGAATTTCAACCGAACAGCTGTATCAGTTTGTTGACCATGTTCTACAATATTTGTTCTATATGACACTCTATTCTCAGATTAAATACTGGGCTCGTGTTTCTGCTTTGTGAAATTTGCACAGGAATTTCCAGCCAAACAGTGTTTTGCAAAAGTTTGCTCTCAATTCTGACCAAGAGTCTTCATTTCTAATGCAATTAATACGGATAACACTCCCTCTAATCTTTTATTCTTCAAATTACACTTTATACGACACATGCTCGATATTTGCTGCGCCAATTTTAGAGAAACAGAATCAATTGATAACTTTTGCAATCATATCAATTTGTCGAGAAACTGACTGTTTAGAATTCTTATCAGTCAATTTGTTTAATTGCCCTCCATTTAGAGTTTCCGCGAAATGACTTGCGATAATTCTGTTCTCAATCTCTTTTACATATGAAATTTAAAGAAAAAAGAACATTAAAGAAGCCGCTATTTATAATTCCCTATCTCAATATTCTGCAATTCAGCCAAGATAGAGAATGGAAAACAACAATAAAAGAAACCTAGTAACTATCAGTCATGCTTTTAGTCTTTTTTTTAAGCAAATCCGGAGGCATTAAAAAGTTGAGGGAATTCACCATAGTGCTCCTTAATGCATTAAAGAGAAGGTTTCATGTTACGAGTGGACTATAAAGCTGCTAAAATGCAATTTATTGTTCTCAAAAAAATTCTTAAGAGACCAAAATATTTACTGTTCTTTGTGAAAGTTGAGGAAGTGCAATAAATGTTCCTCTTCTATCGCCATGGGATTCCAGGAAACATTTACTAATAATTCCCGCTGTTTGGCGTGATTTAAGGAATCCTCAGCTTCTCCAGGGTTAGTGAAGATTCAGGAGAGATAGCAAAATTATGTCCATTTCCTAATTCCAGGCTTTGTTGTCCCACAAAATCGCCATCCGAGGGAGTGTCGAAGGGACAAAGAAAATCAATCGGAAGGGTCGTTGAACGTGGCCGAGAAAAGCCCCACACTTTCCCAGAGACTCCCTCGGGAGTGCCTAATCCACTCGAATCAATTCCAGACATGTTCGCACAAGCTGAAACTGCGACGAGACAGGCAAAAAGAAGCCCACGATCTCGCCGAGAAGAACTTGTTCTGGGGCGAGGAGGTGGTTTTCTCGGTGGAAGGAGGACTCGACTCTCACCTGTCTGCTTCTTGCGCGTCTTTGTTTACACCGTAATCCACGGAGGGCTCCTTGCCAGAGCCTCGCTCGCCACCACAGATCTCCGCCGCCTGTCCAGAAGCTGGGAAAGACCCTCCGGAGGGGTTCAATCACAAAAGTAGGACTCCCGATGCAGACAAATCGACAAAAACTCCACTGATGTCGAGAGCACAAAATCACACCTTTCCTCGCGTCCTGCGGGACAAATCCCCGGCTTTGAGCACAATAAACACTCCTTAGAGCGGAAGAGGGACCCTCGATGCACAGATTGCACGCAATTTAGCAAGATAATGAACACTTTTCACCCACAAAATTGACTAAAACCTCACACGTCCACCGAACGACGACACCTCGCCGACATTTTGCTCCAAACTACATCTCGCGAGCCAATCGGCAAACAAAATAAACGCAACTCGTCAAGCAGCGCCGCGAACGCTCAACACGAAAACACTCAACACCAGCACCATCTGTGGCACTAAGTCAAGACGCACACCGTTTCATTCCTCATTCATAATTCTTCCTCAGCTTGTATAACAGATTAGGACACGTGACGCAGCTTGAATGATGTGATAAAGGGGCTCGTTAGTAACGTGCGGTATTTTCCATTGAGGAAAAAACTTATCGCATCGCATCCATCAAGTTGCCAAGATTTGTGGGGCTCGAGAGCAGATGATTGGGGAAAAACAACACGATGGACAATGTTGGAAATCTCCAACTTCATGCTCTCCAATCTAATCGGTTGCCAATATTCAATCAACTCATTAAAGACGCGAGCTTTTCGTGGTCAAGCTATTTGCAATTGAGAATATACTTGAAGAAATTGAGTGCTATTGCACTTTTCTGTGACCACAAACATTCTTTATACAAATTTCTTTAATTCTTGTGAATAGAATTAAATAAAATACTTTCCAAACTTTCATTTTGTACTTAATACCTTTTGTAGAACTGAAATGTATTTTACAGAAAAACTTCACAAAATATCATGGAAAATTCTTCTCACAAATTGGAGTGAAATTATGATTGATAGGATTGAAATTATAATGTTCCACCCCAAGTTCGTTGACGGAATCAATAAAAGGATCCAGAAACCTGAGAGCATGCCAAGCCTTAGTCGACATTTGATTTGTGAATCGCCTGATATCAATACATATGTCCAGTAGCTATCAGACGCAGTGATAATCTAAAGACTTCCCCCATGGCCAAAGAGCAATTTCGCCGAGAGTATAAAAAGACGCGAGTTGGACCGTTACGATGTCAGTTGTGCGAAAATGAAGACTATCATTGTTCTGTGCGTTGGCGTGTTTGCCTTGGCTTCGGCGGCCATCAGCCGGATCCCCATCGACTATTCCCAGGTGAAGCCCCTGTGGGAGATCCCCTCCTGGCAGGAGCGTAACCCCGCTCTCATGGAGATCGTGCGCGCCCGCCAGCAGCAGGGAGTCGACGTCAGAGGAGGCCCGAATGGACGCATCGTCGGCGGAACCTACGCCCAGCGCCACCAGTTCCCGTATCAAGCTGGAATGTTCCTTCACCTGGCTGGCGGCACTGGATTCTGCGGTGGATCCCTGCTGTCTCGCAACTACGTCCTGACTGCTGCTCACTGTCTGGACGGTGTCAACTCCGCTGTCGTCGTTCTGGGCGGTCATCACATCCACGATAACAACGAGCCCGGAAGGCAGGAGATCTTCTCCGAGGGACACACATTCAGACTCTACCCAGGATGGGACGCCGCTGTCGTCCGCAATGATTTGGGCACGCTGCGCCTCGAACACTCAGCTGAGTATGTTCCTGGTGTCGTGAACAGCGTCCGTCTGCCCAACTTCCGTCAGGTAGACAACACCTTCGCTGGCCAGATGAGCAGCATCAGTGGCTGGGGACGCTTCAACGACTCTAGCAACGATATCTCTCCCACTCTCCGCTACGTGCGCCTGCCCATCATCACGAATCTGGCCTGCACCATCCGCTGGCCCGGCATCATCCAGCCATCCAACATCTGCGCCGATGGAGCCAACGGCGGTCCCTGCAATGGCGACTCCGGCGGCCCTGTGAGCGTCATCGAGGCTGACGGCGTCACCACTCAGGTCGGAATCGTGTCCTTCGGACTCGCCCTCGGCTGCGAACTCAACTGGCCAAGTGCACACGCTCGTGTCACGTCCTTCCTCGATTGGATCGACGCGAACACCGATCATGAAATCCAGGAAAACTGGTGAACATGCAACACCTTTGACCCCCCTGCCTTTAGAGATTGTGCAATAAAAGTCACCAAAACATAAATCAAGTCCTGTAAATCCCAGCTTCGCGATTGATCCATCGCGACTGGTCATCACGACAACCAAGCAATGTCACAACAAGTCGATAAGATAAAAGCGTCTCAAAGTAACCAAGATCAAATGGCCTAAGAACTTGTCCAAACTCTTGGTACATGAGAGCAATGTTCTTATCATTCTTATGATAAATCAATAAATCATTAATAGCAGAAAGCACTTGATTTCACTGGCCATTCAATCAATTTTGATAGCATTTTTGCTTCTGCGGTACAAATATTTCCAGCAGCGCACGCTTCAACTTTAAGCGTAGTACGGCAATGTAATAAATTGATAAAATATGTTTACACTCGCTTGCGGATTGAAAGGTAGAATTGTTATCACAAAATAATAAAATAATATGAGTTATCAAATAAACTAGATTAGTTCTTAGAACAGGAACGGTGAGAAATATATAAAATACTTCGTCTTTTTACATTTAACTTTTCGACATTTTTTTTTTCAATTCAACCTCTGATCAAAGACAAGAGTTCTGAAGTGGATTTTGTCAGTTGAAAAGGTATTTCATTCTATTTTCGTTCTGTTTATTATCTAAACTGTGACCAGTAATCCATAATATTGACTACAAATTGCATTCAACCACATAAAATCTAAGTATTCCTAGCAAATCACTGAACATCTCTGGTTGTACAAATGATGAGATTCCATCATGCTGTTCCTCTGTTGGCTAGTTTTGAGCAGTCATTCTTGTTAAATTGCTTTGAGCGATAAGATATGGCGCTCCGCCATCAATAACAGCTCAAATTGAGGAATTAACTCCGTTTTTTATTGCTATTGCTGATTATAAGCCTCGTCTTTGTCTCGCGCTGGAATTTCCGCGTCCCGCTACGGATGATCACGGATCGCAACATCGGTGTGACAATTAAGCCAGCAGAGGAAGGATGTTAAGCGAACGAACACATTCGGCCAATTGTATGCGCAACCAAGACTGCTGCCGAATGACACAATTCCCACTTGCGTGAAGCTGCCATCGTCTTCAGTGATCACCATTGGACCTCCAGAGTCGCCTGAAGAATAGTACGGAAGCAAGGACTCAGCACAAGGACTCTTGGGATTAATCTAGCTCTCTCTCTCTCTCTCTTACCTTGGCAGGTTCCTGCGCGATTATCTCCTCGGGTGCAAATGTTGTTGTCTTGAAGAGTTGGATAGAGAGTTCGGCAGGCAGCGTTGGAAATAACAGACACCTCGGCGTATCGCAGGATGTCTGAAGTGTCCTGTGAGGCATCAGTTGTTCTGCCCCAGCCCGAAACCTTGGCCGCCACATTCAGGAAGCTTTCTTCCTGCTGCAGATAACTCGGCAGCCGAACGAGCTGAATGGCGTAACTCAACATGACTGGCACAGGAAGCTTCATAACTGAGATATCGTTCTGGTAGCCAGACGTGTTGTATTGCTCATGAACGATGATTTGGCTGCGGAAGATCGTCTGTACGATGCGTGTGTGTTCTGCGTAATCGGACAAGTTGTGAACGCCGAGATAGGCCGTCACGTAAATACTGAGATCCGTGCAGTGCGCTGCCGTTAGTATGTAATTTTCACTGATCAGAGAACCTCCACAGATAGTATGATCACTCTCCAGGCGCACCACCAGAGCGGCCTGGTAGGGAAACTGATGTGGCGAGGCTTCATTGCCGTTCACGATTCGCGTCTGGAAGTCAGGCGAGGCCGAGAGCAGTGCCATCAAGGCTGGATGCTTCTGCTGCCACTCGGGTATTTCGTGTGGAGCCCTAAGGGTGCTCCACCACGATGGCATGCCCAAGACACTCGCGCAGAGAGGCAGCAGCCCCAGAAGAAGTGACCACATGTCAACAGATCGAAGGAAACAGACTGAAGGTGAATGCTTTCCAGGTGGTTTTATATAGGACGGCACTTGGCGCTATATCTGCAAGTCGATAAGGCTACTATCGGTCTTTATCACCCATTTAATGGGCATTCATTGAGGCTCTTTACAGACGAAGAGAATCGGGCAGCGGAAGTTGGACACTTGAGCTCTTGCTGGGGAGATGCCAGACCTCCAAAAGTGCGAATCACGCGTTTCCCTCATTGAAGTCCAATTGTCTGAAGAACTTTATGGCGACCAATTCATGAGGGAAGTAATATCAAGAGTAATTCAGACAAATTCACCCTGCTTAGTGGGTGTGGAATGTAATCGAGTCTAAGTCGAGAGAAGAAATTGTAGTTCCCAGAAATTAATCATGTGATGGCGTATAAAGATTAGGAGAAACTGATTAGTTAGTTAGTGAAGACAACTTTAAAATAAACATTTCATTCCTTTTCCAAAACACTTGAAACGAAAAAGAGTCAGATGTATGATAAATTGCTCAAAAATTTTGACGATTACATATTTTTAAATATATCTTATCTCTCGAAGCATTCTTTTCATTCTCAATTTTCAATGGCTTTTCAATTTAGCAATAAATCTATATGAGAAATCAACAAGATACCAGATGAAATGGACAATTTTTATGGTACTTACCTGTGATTTCCTCTCTGCCAAAGTGACTCATCGACGCAAGGAGACCAAGAATATTGCAGATAAATTTTTAAAGACGAGTTTTGCTGTGAGATTATGTGATTTTATTCATTTCTTTTTTTTCTCTTTCATTTTCTTCTTCATATCAATTTCATTTACACAAATTCAATCCTTCAATTTTGCTCATCAAAATTTCCTCTAGTACAAAAACATCCAATTTTTGGCAGTGTTTGCAGTTCGATATTTTTATATAGAAAAAAGCATCTTCCAGTCGATATTTTCGAAAACAAAATAATAATGGAGATTCTTCGAAAGAATCGTCAGAATGAGAAAGAAAAAATTATACATGGTTTTTTTTTCAAAGAATGATAAGAAAGTCTGAGATTATTTCAAGCTCTCGTGAAAGTATAATAAGATCATTAAATAAATCTTTGGCATATTAGATAATTTTCTTTAAACATGATTCTGCGCTAGTTATTCACTTTACATTCTTCCATCTACAAAGCTATAGATAATTTACTCCTTATTTAGATCAATTTTTTTTCCTCCACTTCACAAATACTTGAACTTCTCTTCGCAATTTCATATTTTTATTTTTTTCAATCAGATTCTTTCTTTTAATTATAAGTTACTACACGCTAATGCATCTTTGAATATTGTGACTTGAATAAGTTTATTTCTTTTTGTTCAATCTATATATTTACTCTTTTCTTTCATTATTATTTCTTCAGATACTTTTGAAAGATCAAATAAATTCATCTTACAACACTAATCTTTGCGACTTTTTTTCATACTTCTCTTTACACTTCACTTTTTTTTATATCTCTACATTGACTAGTTTTATATTTTACTTCATACTTCTTTTGCCATTTTTTTCTTTTCTTAATTGTTATCAGAATTAAACATTGAAATTGAATTAATTTCCAAGGAAATAACTGAGAAAACCTCAATTTTGCCACAATTTATCGCTTCGAATTTAACATCTTTCAAGAGAAATCTTTTCATAATGTAATTTCAGTCTTTGGTTTAAGTGCACAACACAACAAATTATACACAATGATGTTAAAAGGTTGACGCAACAGAAACGTCGACCTTCGCGACAGAATAAACATTTAACAAGTGAAGAAGAGGTTATTATGATATACTTTTACAGAGGAAATCTATTTTTGAAAGATTAGAAAATTAGATTGTAAGACAATTGTTGGCAGATTACTTGATTGAGAGACTGTTAAATGTGCTTTGCAATAAAATAAGCCTATTTCTTCATGACTAATTGTGTGCTTTTTGCTCTCGTCGTCTTGTGATTACTTGAAAGATAAGGTTTTTAGCGTGTGGCATTATTTGTGTTGTGTCTCCGCGGAAAAAGGCTTCAATTTTCCATTTAAATGACATGTTTTTTTTTTTTTACTTTCTTTATGATGTCCCTTCACGGGAAAAACTGGAATACTTGTAACATCATCTACATTTGCAGGATTCACTTCAATATATTATTTACATCTAATAAATACTTGTATATTTACAGGATCATCAGTATAACTTTGTTCTCTTTCCACTCCTTTTTTGTGAAGAACATAAATCAGACCTTTTCTACTATTTCTATATACACAACATATATAAACATAAATATGAGAAAAAATACAGGGAAATAATAATTACATTGTGAGGAAAATCCCTCTGTGAAACTGAGAATAAATTACAGGGAAATGTTCAGGAGTGTACAAAATATACATTTCTCATACATTGTTCTATAGCTGGGAACAAAGGGCACTGTTTAAATGCCCAGATCGTGGAAAATGTGCTCCTTGATAACCTCTCCTTGCTCCTCCAGGCGCTGCACAGTCACCGTGTTCAGCAGATTGAACACCACGGCGAAGATTGTGCAGGCCGCATAGACGCCCAACGCCACCCACCACAGGAGCTGCTCATGGAGCTTCTGCTCGAAGTTCTTGAGCACCAGAAGACCAATGGTCAGGCCCGCCAGGGCGCCCGTGAGATGGGCCACGTACGACACGGAGGGCGCCGTTGTGTTCTCCACGGCGTATCGCGAGTAGATCGCGAAGCCAACATCACAAGAAGCTGCAAAGAGAACGATGAGTGTCAGCGCCGAGGGTAATAAGAGTGGATTGTGTGGTAAAACTCACCGAAAATAAATATCGCCGCCAGTCGGACAATGCCGTACTGCATATTGCTGTAGTTCAACATCACATTGGCCAAGTGTGCGGCCAAGAGAGCATAGACGCCACCGCTGGCGCCGACCAGGTACACCTCGGGATCGAAAACACTCGTTCCTGCAGCAAGAAAGCACCAGCATTAGAGTAAGAGTTGGGCAAGGGAGGGTTTTAAGAGGTCTCTTACCGAGTGAGCCCGCCAAGACTCCGGCCAGATATACGCAGCCGATTCTAGTGGAGCCATGAACCATCTCGAGCGGCAAACCGACCAGCAGTTGCACGACAAGGTTGAAGCCCAAGTGGAACCATCTGCAAGAGTTAAAGGACAATGTACTTGACCGCCAACAGGCAACTTCCGCCACGAGGACACTCACCCTGCGTGGAGAACCATGTAGAAGAGGAATCGCCACACTTCCTGACGCTTGTCCGGCCGGTAGATGAACATGGAGTCGATCGGCACGGGCCCAGCAGGATCAGCCTGCCCGGACGTGAGTGTGTGGTATGTGAAAAAGCCCAGCTGCAGCGCCACGATGAGAAAGAGTGAGAGAGAGCAAAGGAATCTCCATTAATAATTGAGCCAGAGAAGTTTCTCACTTGTGAAAATTCCCACAGAAGCACCAGAGAAATCCTTTCGCAAGTGCACTTAAAAGCCAGCAATTATGCCTCAAGTTTAGAGGACAGAAAAACCCTCAATTTCTTTTTTCCCCTCAACCCGAAAATAGTAACTACACACTCAACACCATAATTCTAATGGAGAGTCATTTTGCTCCACACCGCGCACTAACAGTCAATTAAACCCAAATTGTCATGAAACCACCAATGTTACTCACTTTTTTCCTACACAAATTACCTTCTCAACTCTCCCTGGCAAAAAGCATCAAGCGCTAAAAGAAGTCAAATCTCAGGGAAAAATCTCTGACCGACGCAAATCTCTTCTATATGGTGTGAGACAAAGTTTCTCAGCCCACCAGGAGAAAAAGTCCATCAAACTACAATTGAGAGCAAAAGGCAAGAGAATCGTCTCAAGAGTATATAAAATCAATTATCGATTCCGGTGAATTTTCAATACGTATTATGCATTCTGACCCAGTTTGAGTGATTAATTCATAATTCCACATTCGATGGGAAAAGTGAGATTTCGACCTCTTCTTCCAATGTAAAGTGATAGTGTAGTAAGGATTGATTCTGTGAAAGGACTAATGAATTTTTCATCATAATTAATCAGTAGAAGAGCTTCGCACGATCTGAAAGTCTTATTAAATAAGCATGGAGAAGTGCATGGCATCAAATTGAATAAATAATACTTTATTCACTCTCTGGATAAATTTCAATCACTCTTGAAAACCTCAAATGAAATATTCAAGAGGCACAGAAAAGTTATTTAAAATTTGAGAGACAATTTCAGTAAATAGATATTTCTCCCTCACCGAGGGAGAATGTCTTGCATCTCCAATCCAATATTTGCCAATATTCATCACGAGGAGACGTGAAAAGGGTTGAGAAATGTGAGGCCATCATAAATCATCAGAGTAAATTATCCTCACCACTTGTAACTGATGCCAAGAGATGACGAATTAGGGGTTGTTCCGAACCTCTGACAAATTTCCATTTGCATTCAATTGGAAATGTGGCGTGTAATTTAGACAAAAGTCACCACTAAAAGGTGGCTTCGTGTCACCTGGACCAGAATGTGTCTGCCCGGGAGATAAATGGGATTTCATACGGCACGCTGAAGGTGGATCTGGTGCTGTTATTGAGCAGTGACACGAGCGCCCCGTGTGCGCCCCTCAATTGGGTTCTTCCCCCCCTTCGATGCATACAAATGCAAATGTGAGGCACCTTTTGTCTTTTCATCCCATATCACGGCGAGATGAGTGCGCGGGTGGTCCCGAAGTGCGGGAAGCATCGCGCGTGGAAAAAAGGTGAGAGATTTCCATGTTGGATTCCACCGAAAAGAGAGAAAAATGATATGCACAAAGGCAAAAAAGTGTCGCTCCATTAAGCGGTAGAAGAGCGTATATACATCGTATTTAAATGCGCACAAGGAAAAAGCTGTATTGCGGCTATTGTCTAAGTGGAATATGAATAAAAATTATTAATATTCCCCCTTCTTTCGGTGCCTTTTGGGAGACATGAAATTGTGACAAAGTAACATGAAGAAGAACACAAGAGAAATGCGTAGGGGGCGGCTAAACAATCACTTTACACACAATTTTTGACGCCCATCTGATCCACCTCCTGACAGGGACTTTGTGGCTCTCCTCCTCGCTCTCTCGCCGTCCCGGCGAAACACATACACTTTAATATGTTAAATATTCATAGCATCAAATCGCCACTCACGAAATGTTACAATCAATGCCGAAGAAAATCCCACCAAACACATTCATTAATGGGCGCGAAGGGGGTCAAATTTCAGGGTATATTGACCCCAGGCGATTTCAATTCCACCCCCCTTCTGACTCGTGAAGAAATGCCCAATTATTTTCCCACCATCGTGAATGTTTTTCACATATTTTATTCCGTGAATTATGCGAAAGAGAAATTCATAATTTTCATTTATCGAGCAAATCTAGCCCTCGTGCCCTTAGGCAAGGGTGACCTATAAGTCACTGTCGTCACTGAATTCTGAGAAATCTCACCTGTATTTCTTCAAGAACTGGGGTACAATCTTATGAATGAATATTAAAGAACTCACCCTGAAAGAGGGTTGAAAGACATTTGGGGAAATTTTGAGCCGTAAAGAGCCAAAAAAAACGGCTCAGCCTATGACAAAATGCACACATATTATGTTATGTACATGTGACTAATTGCATTGCAAGCAAGAGCAATTTTGCATCTAACCTCAAATTCCACATTTTCTCCTCGCAGAAGAATTATTGTGCATCAACCGTTCAGCCAGAATGTCATCGGGCGGGGGAAATTGTATGCGTTTTCATTATATATGCTCTTCTGATGTGTGTGGCACTCGTGTTTCTTGCACATGTAAATGATCTGTAATTATCTCCATTTCACAGTGTAGAGACTGTCTGAAAAGTGTGTAAACGATCTGCCGCTGAGTCTGTGGCATCTGGCTTGTGTACACTGAAAGCTAATTGCATTTATCGCCAATTGCCTTCCATCGTCAAATTATCCATTTATTGGCACCGTTGCCACTGCGGAGGTCCGTCTTCGGCGACGAGGGTGGAGGCCCGGATTGCCCTCTTGGAGCCTTTTCTGCGGCTTCACGGATAATCCCCAAGAGACATTCCTGCGCGTTAATTCGTCGAAGAGGTGGCAAAGTTGAGGGAGAGCCTAAACGTGGTCTCTGGTAAACAGAAAACACATGTAAACAAGTCATAATTCACGCTGTAACAGCAGCCTGAACCACTCCATCGCATTTGGGTGTCTCCTTCACCCTCTCCGCGCCAGTGGGTGTGTGTGTACCTTTCGATAAAATGCACAATTTGTCACCGGTCCAGGCCACCAAATCCCAAAGGGCCCAGCCAGAAGAAAGGGGCCCGCAGAGGCGGTGATTGTCTATTTTTGGGTGCGCGGAAAACTTGTGTGTGTCTTCTCAAAATTTTGGTATATTTTCCGGGCTTGCATTGGATATTTTGACAGACACTTTTTTCCCATCCAGCATTCTTTGAGCCCACTGATCTCCTCACTTTCCGTAGAGCCTCTCTCACATGTATTATCTATTTTTGGACGAATTATATACGTTTTTTTTTCTCTCTTCATTCTCCTTGGTGAAATTTTCTCCTCAAGGCGGAAACAGCAAGTCTGAGAATCTCCCGGAAAAATCGTAAAATAAGGGAAAAAGACATCAAGACAAAAGACATCAATACAATTTTACAATCCACCGGAAGACGCCCTGTAGGACAAGTGAAGAGGGACACATAGAATGTAACTCAATAGCATCATTTACCTCTTCATTTGTATCATTATGTGTGTGGGGGATAATCATTTCAATTGAAGAGGCGGAATTTTCCTCCTTTATCCTCGCGCCAGTGACGGAAAAACTTTCTCAGGGGAATTTTTTTTCGTCGTCCTTCCTCTTCTTTATGGAGAGGAGAAAAAAAAATGGGAAAATGAATGTGTGAAAAGATTTAATTTTATTATATTCTTCCAGCATTGCGGAGAAAACTTTTCTATGTGAGGGGAAAGAAAAATGAGGCAATTTACCCAAATTTACGTAATATTCATTTTAACTAGACACACTTTTTCCTAAAGAAAAAAAAATGTAGATGAAAATATTTAGTCCACCAATGTTCTCGATCGCCATGTTATTACACACAAACAGGTAATAATTGCCGATTTCAAGTTATGTGAAGAAAGTAATCATTCTTGATCTGCTATGCTCATACTAGTTTTACTTCTTCTGGATTAGAAATGGAATTTTATAATTATGCGCGATATTGAAAACGAGTTTGTGCAAAGAGACGTGATGAAGAAGAATTTCCACGGAATTCAAGGAAACAAATGATAATCGTTCTAACACATCTTCGAGAGTAATTCAAGTTCATGATGACGAAAACGCCTATTCCATTTATCATGGTATAGAGTGGAAAAAGAAAGATCGCCCCAAAGTTCCACACTTCATTCAAAAGTGCACTTTCGTGTGGCACACGGATCGCACAGCGTCCAATTTGCTGGTGGCGAGGATCAAAAAGTGCCTCTAACGAGAGATAAAATGATCGTAATGTGAGTTGATTGAAGGCGAAGTTGCTGAAGAAGACGTTGAGCCGAGAAACCTCCGGTTGGATTAAATGCAAAATGCGAAATTCATTCAATTCGCACGTGATCCTCCTTCATCGCCTTCCAACGCGATCGCGGCACGGCGGCTTCTGGGCGGGTGGGCATGGGCACCGCGGGGGCACGAGGGCGAGTGCCGCGAGACGCACGCTGGCAAATTGTCTGGCAATGTGCGAGAGTTGGGCTCAAGAAAGCGCCAACAACAAAATTAGCAAAACGCAGCGCGGCGGAGCAACAAAAACGATCTCTGGATCGCATACAGCACGCGCCTACATTAGCATCATTGGCAAAGATCGGCTGATGTTGCAGTATTTTAAGTATATGGGTATTCGTGGTGAATTCGTGCGAGATATAAAAAGACACACACAGCTCTCTCAGCGCTTGGCATTTCCATTCATAAGAGCCCATCAGTGCGAATCTATGAAAATTTACATCTGTCGCGCGCGCGCGCGATGCTGGAGAAATCAACAGTCAATCAGCCACACTGTAATCCAATAGATCACATGCGATCGCGACACATCTTGACGCAGTGAGACGCACAGGAGAGTGTGTGAGAGAGAGAGAGGAACAGAGTCTACGGAGTGCCCTAAATTCCTCTTGACAGACAAAAGTGAAATGATTAAAATGTCGAAGCCAATTAACGTAATTATCTTCAATTTATTGCGTCGTAGCATTAACAACCTGCTCCCATGATGGAACCTGACATCCACTGTGGCAAGAAGCGCGATCACGGGAAAAAAAACAAACAAGACGATGACGTGAAGGTAGAAAAAAGGCCAAGAGATAGAGGAAAAAGAGACCCACTGAGGAAAAAAGCGGGGCGATATTATAGTGAAAGAAGCTGGGACGACGGGAGAAAGACAACAAACAAGTGACACGTGCGTTTAATTCCCTGAAAAGTCCTTCGGGAGATGAAGATCATCCTTCTATGGGCTGCTAATGACACAACGGGAAACATCTGCCTAAGCCTCCTCTTTTCTCGCCACCAAACCATATTCGAGATTACGGAGAATCATATTTCTCTTCACATTGTTTCATCTCTCTCTATATATATTTATGAAGAAAGGCATCACACATTTTCTCCTCTTCCTACATTACATGTCCTCTCTGGCACCCTTGATCTTCCTTTCTCCCTACTTTCGATCGGCATTTTGAGAAGTAAAATAAAATGTGGGATAAGAAAAAAAAATCCCATTACACTTGAGAAATTTTCAGTAAATAGAGGTCGAAGGACCTTTGAACACCCACATAAATTGCCCACACTGTTAGAAAATGTTATACTGAAGACATGATCAGAAAGAGATTTTTATAAAGTGCTTATTGAGAATCCAGGCGATGCTGAGCACACTGTTTTCGGATATTTCTCATGGATTCTCCACGACGTTCAATTTGCAACAGTGTAACCACATTTTCTCCCAGTGATCCTCATCGAAACGCCGGAAAGTGGGTGCGAGCATCAGAGTTAAAACGGAAGTTGTCGGCATTACCTTCTTCTCATGTGACACAAGGAGAAGGAAACATACAGAAATATGCCTTGAATGCAGGAACAACCTCTCACCATCCTGTGAATCATCCCAGAGGAAGATGAAGAAATCAACTCCCACAGACTCAGAGGGAAACAGACAGAATTCCTGGAGTTCCGGAAATCGGATGTTCTTCCTCCATCTCGTCCTTTTCATGTTTATTCAATCACATGTTAATTGGAGAATCAGTGGAGGAATGCATAAAATGAGAATTTCACTGGCATGAATCACACAAAATGCGTGATCATGTCTCTTGAACAGAGTCTCTCTCGTCCACGGAGAGGAAATGGCAAAGGATCAACGTGAGGTGAATGATTAATGAAATGTGTAATATTCTCTTCTCCCCACATCTTCCTATCAATTTTATCATGCGGCTTTCGGAGGAAAAGGAGCTCCAAAGGCATCGATATGGTGATGGATTTGTCCTAATCTCGCTGAAAGTGCATTGAGGCTTAAAAGTGGTACACTTTATCCCACCCGCAGTTCATCTTCTTCGCTTTGACAGCGTCCTCACAGCGGTAAATCATTTCTACCCCAATTTCTTCGCCAGAAGCACACTCCTTGTCTCATCCACTTTGGATGTTGATTCATTTTGTGCGCGCATCACAGAGACATGAGACCTTCCCTCATAATTCCCGAGCCACATAAATACAAGGATACCCAGGGCGCTGTGAGGGTGGCTGAAGTGCTAAGAAACACCAATTTATCTGCCTCCATCCGCACCCTTCACCTCACAATATTTTCCAGATCATCCTCGCCTTTTTTTTCCTTCATACTTTCGCCCACGAGTAGCATATAAGAAAATATCATTGTCAAGTTTATGGCATATTGCTGGCATTTTCCACAATAAAACTCTCCCTGCTTGGCATTACCAAAGTGCTCCCCCTCTGCGTGCAGCCAAATCCCTCGAGAAATCCCACTCGAAATTGATGAAGGCATCTCTCTAGCATCGTTGTGGGAAAATGCAATTGAACTCCTTTGCAACTTACCTCGACCAGTGTCACAAATATCACAAAGAGCGGAGGTGGACAGCATGAATAATTGTCTGCATAGTATTTCCGGTCTCGTTCCTCCGGAAGCACTTCCATCGCAATCACGTGAACCATTCTGGATGTGGATTGGCAAATGAGGTGGGAAAAAGCAAAAGTTACAAATTAATTAAATCACACTTTGAGATGCTAAGAGGTCAATTAGAGCTTATTAAGCATTTTTATCGATCTCATCAATTGAATAAATGCAAATGTTTGATTTTGTAACTCAATCAATTTTCCATTCACTTCTACAATTATCGCTATATTTTTGAGTTCAGTAGAAAAAGTGAACTTCATATTTACCTTTCGAAAAATGGTGGATCCTGAAAAATGATGTGGAAATCGTTTTCAGAACAGACTTCCCTGTCACGATGATGGACGGCACACTTGAAGCTCCTCGATCTTTTGCCGCTCATCTGGAAGAACAGAGAAAGAAACGGTGGCTCATGAGTTGATCATTAAGGACAATTTCACATATGACTTGACACACGTTGGCAAATGAGACAAATTTGTTTCCCGCGTGTTTTTCCCCTGCGCGCGCGCTATTGCTGCAGGTGAGAATAAAAGTGTTCATCTTATTCACGTGTGAATAATTAATAACAATAAAGTACACAGACTTGGGTCTATGGCCAGTAATCTTGTTTTATTGTTTTCAATCAACTCACAACTTGCGAATAAATCATTTTGCCGAGATAGAATCTCACATGTTATAAAAGAATTGCAGGAGTTACACGAAAATTGGAAATAAGGAAGATAAATGACTTTTAGCACAGACAAATAGCTACATTTACCCAGTCTTCGCGCTCTTTTCCCTTTCCAAAACACCCAGAGTGCCACTGTCTCTCATTCACATCTCCCTTGTCGCGTCCCACCGCCGTGAATTCGTGGGTATTGCTGGTAATTTACAATTTAAGGTGAAAATACAGTAATTACAGCAATAAAAATTGTGTTCACAGTGAAACACGTTCAATTGTTTTCTTATTGGATGCGACGACGGCGCGGCATCATTTAGTATGCAAAATGATATACAAAAGACACCATCAGCGCGCAAAGAAGCCATGTGGAAATAGTCCCAGACAAGGGGGAGAGAAGAAGAGGTTCAACTCAAAGAGAATTACCACTTTAAATGGGCTTCCCTGCTTAAACGATCACAACACCTTCAGGCTCAATTTGCCTAAGAGAAAATTCACACGCCCAAATCATCGACTCCCCATCGCAGAGCGCATTCAATGCGGCTGAACTTCACCTTTAGTCGCACTGTGTGCGAGTATTTCAAAATGGTATTAATTGCTGTTGACACGCACAAAACTTCCCATTGACGTGGTGTTGTTTGGTGATGCTGTTTTCCTCACACTCACTCACCAAAAATTATTCCTCCGCGATCCCCTTTTCATCTTATTTGATGTCTTTCGCGTACAAATATGAAAGTCAAACACAACAAGTCATAAAATTGCCTCCAGAAAGCTTCTTTTCTTCTCCACCAGCGCGGGGGCAGCGAGATGTGGTGCCACACAGCCATTGAAAGTTGGGAGGAAGCGCATGAGATGTGTTCTCCACAATCACGCACAAGGTCTTCACACAGCCAGAGCGAGAGACATCCAAAGAATGCAGCATCCAGAACGGGAGGAAAAGGTAGCGAGGGAACCGAACTAATTAGCATAGTGTTAGACATCTAATTGTCCAAACGAAATAAATTGTCCCTCAAACAAGACCACATGAGAGCAAACATTGACAAGAATGTGAAATAATTGAGCTGTCTCTCTCCCATTTATTCTCACGCACTTTTTCCACTCCCTGCGATCACACTTGAATTCCTTCTCCTTGGCCACGGCCGAACGTGAGAAAGTCGATCGCAAGGTGGGCGCTTATTGGAAAATGCGTGAGTTAATGACTTCTTACTGTGCCCCTAAGCAGGCTGATGACCACTTGATCTTCTTTCCACTCACGACACCACTTGAGTTTCAAGCAAAAACCAAACATACTTTTCGCGTTATGTCGAGTTTCTTTTCTTTGCCCCTAAATTCAAAACAACACTTTTCTTGCAGATATAATGATCCACATTCAGAATAACATCAACATTCATTTTGGTGCAAAAGAATTTCATAACACATGCGTGTCAGCCTATCACGTGCTGCCTTGCGAATTTCATTAGGCGAAAAGTGCCTCATTGTGCAGAGGTATCATCAAAATACTCTCGGTTGTTTTGCAGACGAAGAAAAATTCTTGACAATTTCCCACACTGTGGCGTCACCTCCCTTTACATTCCCATATTTCTTAATTCTCTATTTCTCTCTCGTCCTCATGCCACCAAGTCAAGCGTCCTACTGCAAGATTCACAACTTTACAGTAACTCCCGTGAAAAAGAACTCCTATCACGCAATTCAGAAGACATTCCCTGTTGAATTGTGCAGAAGAGTCTCGAGAGCTTCCTTCCTGAGGTGTTTTGCTGGTGCGTTTTGTCACCACGTCACACGATAATATTTTCCGTATGTTGTGTGGGAATGTGAACAACGCGTCTCAAGTGAATTGATAATTCATGGAGGAATATTCATACTCCCTCCAGATTACCATGGCCGCTTTTTTCCTTCGCATTTCCAGAAGAGCCACACACAAAAAAATCACATGACAATTTCTCACCCATTTAAAGTTAAAATAAGGCGTGCTGTAGGCGGTTTATCGCACAATATCGCGCCACAATCTACAGTGGCTGGTATTGTTTCAGGAATCTCTCTCTTGGCACTCGCCTCACTCACCTCAACTGCTCCTCCTTCAAATGTGTTCCAACCATCCACCTGACATTCCCTTATATGGCAAAGTCCGTATGAATTTTTCATGGATGAAAATTACCTTTATACTTTTCACCAACTCTCGTGTTTACAATTGATGCTCTGTTTCTCGCCATGAGTGTGATTCCCCAAGTATACCACGCGAGTTGCAGAAAAAGGAAAATTCATAAAGTGCCTCTTTATTTATTTACGCCATAGTGCGGCAAACATTATTCAAAATGCCACCATCACAGCCCGGGATGAATGTGAGCCTCAGTGGAATATTCATTGATTTAAAGAAAAAAATTTCCCCTTACATCCAATCAATCATCCACTCTTGCATGCATAAACAAACCCGCTAAACTTGAGCGCAAGTGCTGTGAACAGGAAGAAAAGCCACTTGGAGATTCGGAGAGCAACAATATATCTGCAGACATTCAATATATATATATTCTACCACTCCTAAATTCCTCATCACAGACAATTAAAACACGTGAGAAAACTAATCAAAATTACCAAGTAATTCGCACTCTGCGGAATGAGGTTAATCGTATTGAGATTGCCTGTTACAAGAGAGATTTCTTGTTTTCCCTCCGCATGAGATATTTTGTGAGCAAAATTTTGCGCAACATATGAACCAAATAAATGAATAAATATTTGGTCTTCTGAATGCCAACATCTTCTCACCACTTTCGACTGATCCAATACCCACTTCTCGACTCAATGCAAGACGAAGTCTGAGGGCAAGAATTTGCAACTGAAAAATTCCACAAAGAAAGGATTATAAATATATTACAGAAAGAATGACTTTCACTACACGCGTTGAATGTCGAATGCGGTATTTAGAGTAAAGAATCACTGACCGTGTAATCGCATAAAAGACCGCTCTCTGAGGGTGGATAAAAAGATATCGCGCGTCGCAGCCTCCAGAGAATGACATAGTAAGACACCCAAGAGGCCATCGTCAATTGGGACTTTGGAGGAGAATTTTTTAATAAAAATTACTTGTATGAGGAAGTTTATGGTGTGGAATCGCCTTCTAATGGCTTTTAATTATGTTGATTGCGTCGTGTGACGCCACTTCTACCTCACCATCGAGCGCGGGAAAGTGCTCTATGTGCATTCCACCCATTTTTTCAATTACCCTCCCGGTAACGGATAATTTGACAGTGTAAATGGCACTTTAGAGGCAAATGAGCGCGCTGACTGGAAACAAACCGTCGTCACACTTTGAAATTCAAATCACTCTCCGCGAGCAATCTTTGTCCGATATAACTTATTTTTGGTAGGCATGCCAACAAAAAGAGGTAATAAGGGGCCAGAGAGAGAGAGAGAGAGCGAGATGCACTCACTCGACCTTTCGCCGAGGAGGACAGCTGAATCGTCAGACACTCGCAACCCCCTTCAGATCCATCAACAACAATAAATTCCTCCACACCATTATTAAGTGATGAATGCATCAAAAGTCATTGAATATTGTGAAGAAGCGGAAGGTACAGCCAAAATAGACGAAAACAAAGGAGGGGAATCAGAGGGTGGTCTCATAATAGCGGCCAAGAAGCTAAGAAAAAGGCATTTCGAGAGCAGCCACCACAATTTACTTGGGCTTCCCTCCTATTGAGCCACCTCTCTAAGAACAATCTCACATGTGAATTGGCTGCCAGTCCGTGAAATTATTTCAGGGGCTCTCGCCGAGTCCCAGCGACCTCCTATATATCAATCATTAGAGGGTTTCGACATCATTTCGAAACTTGGCCAGTGGAAATTCTAATCATCTTCTTTCTGCTTCAGCTACTCTAGTGATAATTGATTCATTTGAATGTCACACCAATCGGAGGAATGGCTAAGAAATTCCCTCTGATTCAATTCACAGTGCAATTGAAGTCTTTCGTTGGACTAACAGAAAATCCAGTATAAATTCAACCAAGTGCAGATGATTTAAGTGAATAAGTCTGAGTAATTTGAAGGTTAAATTTTATATTTCCCCCGATAATTATCCTGATTTTAATTACCCACCGTCATGGGTAAGATCTTAAATGGCAGATAAAGGATTTTTATCGCAAAACTCTCACTGGCTTCGCATCCATGCTTCAGCACAATTTGCGAGATGTGGAGGAACTGATGGAAGAAGACTGGTAATTAGGTGCAAAATACCAGAACGCGCGCACTGATTTTAATTTTGCAGTGCAATATAGAAGAAAAAAGGTAATATTTATACGCATAAAGAACTGTATTGGACTCACTCATTCTCCAGACCTCTTTTTTAGTGCAACTTATTTGGCACGCAATATTTGCGCATGCTGTGTACACCTTCATCGTCATTTCCCATGCAAGATGTCAAGCAATAATTGTTGAAATTCCCTCATTCCTTTCCATAAAGTTAAATTTTCTCGCGAGTCGCCGCGTGATGGATGGAAAATTACAGTGCAGAAAAATTATCCGGTCAGTAAACTCATAAACAAGTGAAAAAAATATTATTTTTCGTGTGCATCAAACGCAACTATTTCAGCCATATTTCCATGCCAAACGGGTCTTATACAGCAATATTGAGGATGACTATACGCGGAGAGAGATTGTATTGTAAACAATTAAAATTCTGTATATTTATCTTTAAACACTGATTAACACACATGTTATTTATCTCACCAGCT